AATCCACCCTTTAGAGGGTGTCAGAAGCTACCTCAAGGGCATTGCGAGGATCGATCAATGTTCCCTTTGGTCGCTTGCTCCTCGTCATTCCAAGCTCAGGAAGATATAGTTGCAGCTCTCCGCCTTGTTGAATTGGATGAAGACGATCAAGAACAAGAACCAAGACCAACTCTTGAACTACTTTACAAGATTTTCATCGCTCCAGTGGCTGACCTGCTTGACGAGCCCGAAATTCTCATTGTTCCTGATCGTTCCTTGTACAAAATTCCATTTGCAGCGTTAAAGGATGAAAATGGGAGTTATCTTTCAGATACTTTCAGGATCCGCATTGTTCCATCTTTGACGACTCATAAGCTCATTCAGGAGAGACCAGAAACCCAGTGTAATGATAGGAGTGTGTTGATAGTGGGTGATCCTGATGTTAGCTATGTGAGTGAGTTCTCTCAACTGTCTTTTGCAAGAAAGGAAGCGAAAATGATCGCCGAATGGTTGGGTGTTCAGCCTTTGTTAGGGTGTCAAGCAACAAAGCAGGCGGTACTTGAAGCGATGCATTCAGCAAGTTTGATACATTTTGCTGCACATGGTGATGCCGAAAGAGGAGAAATTGTTCTTGCTCCAGTGCGACCTGTCAACAGGACTTTGAATCAAGACGATTTCGTGTTAACAACGGCTGACGTTTCCGAAGTTAAACTTACGGCGAAACTAGTTGTTTTAAGCTGTTGTCACAGCGCACATGGACACATTAGAGCTGAGGGAGTGGTTGGAATTGCTCGAGCGTTTCTAGGATCCGGTGCACGCTCAGTGTTGGTGGCGTTGTGGGCCATAGAAGACAAAGCAACAGAGCAGTTGATGGGACGTTTCTACGAGCACTTTGTGTGTGGTGAAAGTGTAAGTGAATCTCTTCACCAGGCTATGAAGTGGATGCGAGAGAACGGCTTCCCTGAAGTGAGGGAGTGGGCTCCTTTTATGCTGATTGGAGACAACGTGACGTTTGATTTCAGAAAGTGAAGGTTAGTCTTTTGACGCAGAAATATAAAAAACATATTCGTGTGCATAGTTTGTCAGTTGAAATTCTTTGTCTCACCATTTTCAACAACAGCCTGGTTCCCAGGGTTTTCCTTAAGAAAATTGGGAGGTGGCCGCTCTCAATTTCCAGAGAGAAAAATAGCGAACGAGCTTGCTTCAACAAGCAATCCGGCTCTACCTGTTTGAATGCAGTATTGTTTCACGTCAAGTCACACGAACAATGGTTACTCGTCATTATTTCCTAGTTTCTAAAATCCTGTCGATGCGTCCCCTGAATGGCTAAAAACATGACGAGTTTTCAGATATGAAAATTTCTGAGATTTTTTGTTTACGTTTGCATTAAGGAAATGTGGTGCGGGGCCAAACGGGGTGGTCTTGAGGCGTGGTTTCACAGTCAGGTTACAGGCTTAGGTTAAATGTAAGGCGTCTCTCTTTCATAATGCAATCTTTACAGGTAGCAATTTTGACTCCTGAAGGAGGATCAAGAGGTTATCCCTATATTAAGAACTCCCCTTATAGATAACCCACCCAGCTCCGGAAAGGTTGGCCACACTCCCGTGGTCTACGTCCCTGCTCTTTTCGAACAGTTGTGTGGGTTCTTTTACGTTCCACAAGAGCCAGATACGTGAAAGTGCTGTGGAACAGGACCTTCGGTTTTTCGTCCTTATTCGAGAAGACTAGAAACATGCAGAACGTTTAACCCCTTGTAGATGCGTCATTACATGGCAGCACTTTCTTCTCGAGTTTTTCAAAGACCCTGAGTGTTGTGTTGGTCTGGCCTGGGTTGATCTCGCTACCTCCCGCTCAGCAGACCGGAATTCTCCCAACTGAGCTAGAGCGTTTAGTCTCTCACAAAATATATTCCCCCTGTACTATACGTATGCAAACATCGGCATTTCGCGACAAGAGAGCTGTTGTGATTTGGTCCTTATTTGGTCATGCATGAAGCAGAAAAGTACGTTTTCTGAGAACCTTCATTGCTCCATTTCTTGTTCTCAGTCTAAGTAATGGCAACGGATTAAAACTAAACTATAAATTTGACAAACCCCGAGGTAAAGGTGTATAGTAGTACACCTCCAATGCAATGGTTTACTTAGAAATCTCCGAGACCTGGAAATATGTTTTGGATGCTTTGACTAGTGCGATGTTTACAATAAAAGTGTAAGGGTGAGTTCTGCAAGTAATGATTAAGTTTGTGTCGCCATAATAAATGTATTGTTAAGTAGGTTTCAATGACGTGTTTGACAGGAGGATTACTTGTTTTACTCGGAGTTCCATGGGTCAATAAAATGAATGGTGTACCTTATTGTTACTGAAAAATGTTAGTTAGTCAGATGTGCTTCATAAATAAGATAAATATAAACGGTTTAACAGGCCATTTTTTTTGTTTTTTTGTTCCTTGTAGGAGTAACTCGATTGAAGGTAGACGAAGGAAAAATGGACTCGGCTCCAGGAAAATTGTAAATACAGTACTCCCCTGGAAGCTCAAACTTCTGTGTTTTGTGGAATTGTTGAAGTTTGTTTGACATTGTCCAAGGGTATATACCTGTTAATATTTAAGTAGTTAAATAGTCTTCAAGCAAAAGAGAGGAGTGATAGAAATAGTCAAATGTAAGTAAAATGTACAAAAACGCACGACGTAGGTGTTAATAACCGACTTGTTGACAGGCCAGGCTTGCTATGTATATGAGCGGAATATTTTAGGTTTTTCTTAGCTTTTCCAGTTTAATTGCTTATGTCCTAAAGAAGAAATAATCATGGTTTTGAATTGTAACACGTTAATTCTTTATTCAGTTTCTCAGTTTAAAATAGACTTGTCATCTTGAATCCTTTGAGAACTGTGTTTTCGTCAGATCGATTTCAAACTTTTTTTCCAGTCGTAAATTTCCCATTTATGACTTTTCATGCCCCGCCCACTTTCCAACGGAAAAGGGCTGGGGACGAGCTTAAGCTTTTTCATCTATGTACATGTTAGAATCCTTTCACAGGTTAAACTAGTATCCGAACTATAACGGTTAAGTCACGTTTTGCTGGGATTCTAACCTGGTAACCTAGGACGAACACTGGTTTAAGCTGAGAAAGGATTTTATCTACAGCATTTAAACACTCGTGTAAAACTCGTTATTGTAGTGTTTCTCTTGTATAAAATCCAGAATAGTTTTCACCATATAATTGGTGTAAGTTCCTTTGGAGTTAAGAGTGAAATTATAGACTGTTTAACTTGATATATTTTTTGTGTTTTAATAACCTTAGAGTTTTGCTGACCAGCTTTATTGCAATTTCACTAACAATTCTTGTTGAGGTTAGCCCAGCCGTGTGCAATATGTAATTAAGCAGTTTTCCTCAGCTCTGGCTCTTTTTTTTTGGAGAAGAAAGTAATATGGCCACATCAGGGTTATGGGCTCCTGGCCATATTGCTTTTATCGAGAGTGCCTGGCTTTAAATTGGTGTGATGGTACCTTACGATGCAACAGTGAAATGTATCGCCTTACCGTTTACATTCTTTAGAAAACAGGAAAAAGCTGGCCATTTGAATTCTTGGGAGACAGAAGTAGAGTGAAAAACTTGATACATGTGGAGCGTTGTTGTTTTGTTTAACAAAACTGTTCATGAGTTTTGTCGTTCCCTTTACCGCCGTAGTTTCGTAAGTTCCCTCAGTATTAGCTTACGAATACAGCCACCCTTTCACTGTTAAAGTGCTCGAGAACTATAGATGGGCGTTAACCAGAGAACAGAGAGGGCGTGGATCACTGTATTTTCTACCTCGCTTTTTGGAATTCAATTCGATTCAGCTGATGTGAAGTACGGCGCCTTGACCGGGCGTTTAAGGAGTGTGCTAAACTTTTCTTGAGCTTCAAGTAGGGATGCCATTAGGTCGAATCATTGCGGACTTCCAACGCTTTCTGAAAGCCTGTTGGCAATAATGGATGAATGAATGAATCAATCACTGAATAGACGATAAAAAGCGATAGTTCGATTATCACCTGTGTAATGTAGGTCGCATAGAAAACTCTCTACTGGGACTTTTATGGTACTGACCATATGAAGATAGAAAAAGGCTACTAGAATGTTTTTTTCCTGATGGTTTGACATTTCAGCCGCCTGTTAAGTACAGTCGAGTTTAAGATTAGATTGGCACTATTCAGGGCTATTACATTAAATATTTCAGTTCGCACTTATTATTGGGCTACCAGTGAGGGCATAGCCTGCGGACACAGACGCATTTCCGGTCGTCGCTTCCCTCCACCCGTTACTGTTCGGGTGGAGAGATGAGCGACGACCGGAAATACGTCTGTGTCCGCAGGCTGGTGAGGGCAACGCCTATTCAAGAAATACCTTCCATCTGTGTCGAAAAAAGACAAATGGCAGACGGAACTCATAGAAGGCCTTGCGTGTCCCATTCCCCCTTCAATGGCGCCGATTTTTGCGGGGAGGGAACGGGTCATGGTAGTTAAGCGTTGAAAATAATGCCAATCGTTTCTTGTTTCAAAAAGCTAACTTGCTTATTCATAACGGTAGAAGTTACTATACAGCCCCGGCTTAAAAACGCGCTGTCAGCAGACCAATGAACCCCAGTTGTGGGAGTCTTGTTACTGCTTTGCTGCTTTCATGAAATATATTTAAATGACCTCCAAGGTATAGGTAACACTCAACAAAAGAAGCACGCGGGCTGACTTTACAGTCGGGAATATATATATATTTTACTAATATTTCGGAAGGCACGGCCTTCCTTCTTCAGGGTCTTACATACAATGATGAGGTTACCGTAACTCCTCTTTTGAGCCCCCCTCTCAAATAAGCGCCCCCTTTTCAAAGGAGGAAAGTCAAAAGCCCTCCCCCCCTCCCTCCCCTCGATCCTTATTCTTTACAAACAATGTCTCCAGGCTCTGCCACCCTTTACCCTCCCCAGACTACCTCTCCGCTCGCCGATTTTTTTTTCGCCCACGCCGATTTTTTTCTCCTTTTCCCCCAAATGCGAGCCTGGTCCCAGGCTAAAGTGTCTCTGTCCGTGCGATATTGTTAACTCGTTGTATTTCCCGTTGATGGAAATAGCGGTAAATAGGTACTATAAATAGGTATGTTCACTAGCCTGTGGAGAGCAGACGATTTTTTCTGGTCTTGTTTCGCCCGCCGAGAAAAAAGCTGTTTTTGCGCCGGCGAAAAAAGAGCCGAAAAAAGCGTCTGCTCCCCGCAGGCTTAGGTAACCCCCTTATCTGAAAATGATCCCCAAAAACTAGACTGTTCACAGTCCCCTATTTTTTTTTTAACCGCCCCCGCCCCCTAAGTAGTTTTGACACTCATGCAATCTGGCAGCCCGTAACGCAAAGCCCTCGATCTCGACCATCTTACGGAAAAATAGAGGACTGTGAACAGTCTACCCAAAAACAGGAGCCACCAAAAACCAATCAAGATTTTGAAAATGGGATCAATTTAGGTTGTTGGAAAACTGCCCACCTACCCTTTCCTTAGCCATCATTTTGCCCTAAGTGGGAAGTGAGTGTTGATTTTATCTTAGGGGAGGGGTAGGTAGGGAGTTTACCAGAAATCTAAATTGCTCCTGAAAATGTCCCATCGTTCAGCAAAATATATAAAATGTCAGCAAGTCCACAGCAACAAACCAATGAGTGGTGCCGGATCTCCCAGTTGTAGACCTGGATCAGTACAATTAAACTTGTAGAAAAATATGAACGGCAAACTGATCCTTACGGCAAGGCGATGAAGAAGTAAACAAAAGAATAAAACAAGAAATATAAATGTTTAAATATATTTTTTGTTTTATTCTTTCAGTGTTTACTTCTTCATCGCCTTGCCGTAAGGATCAGTTTGCCGTTTCATATTGTTCAGCAAAATGGCCGTGCCCCTCACAGTTAAGTTATGAAGATATGAAAATCATATATGTGAACTGCGCAGTGAAGAATCAAATGAAGGATAATCATCTCATCGTAGCCATATACAAACTTTTGCAGTTGCGAAAGCACATTCAACGACCTGCTCCCAGTTGGCTTGGTAGGTTGGTAGAGCGCTGCACTGGTATCGTAGAGGTCAAGGGCTGGAATCCCGTGCAAGGCTGAATTTTTTTCAGGCTTTCTTTTCGCAACTGCAAAAGTTGCGTATATAAACTGCGATGATCATCCTTCATTTAAGAATTTAATACCCCTCACAGTTAATAAACGACCAGCCTCTAGCCTGTTCCAGGCATTCAGGTAGAGGAGTGCGGGCGAAAAATTGCAATTTAGTTGACGGACCATTATTTTTTTGTCGGGGCGGAGGGGTTGGGGTTGAAAAATTTTCACATGCAAACGTTATGGCTCCTGAGTTGAGTCGCCAAACTGGGCCTCTTGGTAGCGCGTGGTTTCTTGCGTGCGGATTTCGTGCCGACTCGCGCGCGTGGCTATAGGTATTGACGTCATTTGTTCCCAGTCCTCTGAAAATTCCTGTTTGCCACGAATGCAAGTTACATACAAAATGGCTGTTGTCTGTTTCACGCAAGGAACGTGTGTGATGGAACAGAGCGACAACAACATGTGATTTAACACAGAAACGACTCGTTTATCCCCTACACCGGGATTTGGTCCACTCATTTCGTCGTTATGAGTCGGCCTGATTTGTTTTTGCTGGTGACATGCCTTTTCCTTGTTTATGCCGGTGTAAAATGCAGTCATTCCGCAATGACGCCCGAAGAGAAACACACAATGAGGTATGTTTGTTTGTCGGGGTTTTAGACATGTTATTTGCCCTATAATTACATTTATCATTTCTTTTCAAAGGGAGAAAGTCTTGGAGATGTTTCACCATGCCTACAACTCATACATGGTCAGTAAATTGTTAAAAGAAGTCAACGATTTGCTCATAAACAGGAGTTACGTAAATGTTCTATTTTAACGTTTATTGATAGATATGGTTCAAAGGACGTAAACACGCTTAAATTTAATGAGGTTTCATGGGGCAAGGAAAGTGGAATCATAAAAAATAGTAATAGCGTGATAGTTTTCATGAGGTTAATAAGTCGTGTACTTACAAGTGCTGAAGAAACTCAATTGTCTGTTTATAGGCTAACGCGTAAAAATGTAAGCTTATGACTTGAGCTTTCACGTAGAGTGAAGGTCAGCAATAGGGGATATATAACAAAACATTGTGTCGCGTTGTCTTTGAAAAGCTTACATGGAGCCAATAGTGTAAAAGATATAAACCTGACAGAGAAATATGATCAGATTTTTTTTGTTTGGAGTGAACATGCATATCATGTGTTTTAACTGTTAATGAATTATGTGTAAGCATTCAGAGTTAACAAGTGTTTTATATATAGTCTATACAGAGAGTCAAGGGTATTCAAGGGCTCTCACATTTTCCTATAATGATTATTATTTTTCGTGATGAATGTTTTTTTTGGCCAAAGGGAGTGTCGTAAGCAATGCCTATTCATACATTTACTCATTATAATATTACCCAAGAACCAGCTGTTTTGTGTGTACCTATGTCACATAGCAGACACTCTGACTCATCATTACACCAGTTCAATGTGGCTCACTCTTGAATTTGTTCGGCACCAGTTAGCTAAGTTTATGATATGCATAATTTTGCAAGATTGGAGGGGAAACATTAAAAGCTTGAAGCTTGCTAATTTGAGTAGAGAAACCAACAGTATCAACAAGATTCAAAAGAATCTTTCTTTATTTACTTCAGTTTAGGAGAAGAAGTAGTTTGACATCTGAGCAAAGTAGCTAACACTTTTTGTCTGTCATCAGTGCTCATCATCACAGCTTATTGTGCAGATTTACCTGCAATGGTACATCCTACCATTTCTAACCACCTGAAATGCCAAGATTTGGTAGTTGTTGAGGGAGAGAGGTTCAAAGTAGAGTGCATTAACTGGCAGTGCCAGAATGTGTTTTTTAACATGTAGATAGGTAGTCACTTACGAGAGCTGGTCAAAGAGGGAAGTTTGACAAAGGGTGCATGGTGCATGGTGTTACTCTTAATGTAATGTCAAATTTTCCTTTTGTTTTCATGAGCAATTTAATACAAGCAGGGCTATCAATAAGGGCCATGCAGTAGCCGGCCAAAACTGCTGACTAGTTAGCCATTCTTAGCCGGCTACTTTCATCCCCTTCTAAACTAACTGCTAACAAAAAATAAGCACCATCGAATAAAATTGTAAAGCATCCATTTCCCAGTTTTGAATGACACATAAACAGGTTTAGATCTGTGAAATGTTCAAACCGTGCGATGTATTGGAATGCCTGTGACATTTAGACAGCTTTGTTCCCAGTATAGGTCGTGCATGTATTCTGATGAAACAACATGGCATCCGTGGTGGAAACTACCTCATGAAAACCCCTGGAGATGCCATTTCTGAGACTCTAATTTTCAAGATGTCCCTAGATGCCTCAGCCCTTAGGAACTTGTGCCTTTGGTGCGAGTTCCAAAGCTGCCTACTATTCATTATCAGCCTGCTACTTAAAAACATTTTGACAGCCTTGACAAGACAATCTAGCAACTTTTTCCATTTGTTACTTTAAATCACCTTCTACAGCTGTATATTTATGGAGGCATTTTAAGCACAATCATTCAAAGATCCACTCTTTGTAATTTTCAGTTAGGACCCAGTTCACTTGTATCAATAACTTAAATTAAGGAATGATAGTTTGCTACTGCAGTGCATGATTGAAAAATTGAGTGAAATTTCCATACAGCTATCATACATAACCTAGACATGCATTACGCTTTAATTCTCCCTTCTAGCCAAACAGTGAAAATGAATACATGTAATCCAGAGTTTCAGTTAGAAGCTGTAGATTCTTCTAATTCCTTCTGTATGGATAAGGCAATGTACAAATGTACAATCAAATCTATAACAAAATGGCCATTACACTGTATATGATTATGGCCTGTGGATGTAACAGGAGGTGTCTTGAATTCCTGTAATGGACTCTTGTTGCTATGTGATGATTGTTTGATCAGTTGCACGAAAGGTACATGCAGACTGTGACAATTTTGTGTCCACTTTGATTTTGTTTTCTCATCATTTGAAAATATTCCATAATTGAATTATTTTCAGTTATGGTCTGTAGCTTCTTTGAAATATTTACATTAGGTCTGTACAGATTATGTACATCCAAGCTTCTTCAAAGCATTTTTGAAATTGTGATGATAACAATATCATTTTTTCAAAATTTACACTATTGCTGCATGTAGCAGTACACTGTCAGTGATGTCTTGTTCAGTTAATTAACGTTTAAGTATCAGTAGTTTTTACAATCTGCTTAGTTATATTTCTTGAGAAGTCCTTAACGTTGCTCTATGTTTAAGAAAATCATTAGCAATGTGTGAGGGTGTAGGGCTGGCTATACAGCTGTAGGTGAATAGAAAATCTTGCACCTGACAAACAAAGTGGGGTGATCATTGTAGAAGAAATTCAGTCCAGGGTAACCTGAGATCAGGCCCAATTTTAGCAGTTCTCATACATTCTCTCTAACGGCTACCGCTAAAATCGGGCCTGATATTCGTTTCACCTTGCCTGCCGGAATGTAATTTTCAAAGCAAAACGAAAATAGAGCCTGATCTCAGGTTAAGTCTAACGTTGTGGCAGTACTGATTGAGTACATGTTGTACAACAAGGTCCACACAAATGGCCATAGGGTAAGGTTTTCTATATTGTTCTCTTACTAGACTCTTAAGCTACAAAACTGAGTCCTCAATGTCGGAAAGAAAAATGAGTATGACAGAAGATATCTCAGCTTCTGCCTTTTTTATTTTGAGTTTACCAGGTATTAGACAAATGTTGCCTGATTTCCGAATTTTATTACACTGATTTCATAAAATGATTTTAGGTCGTGCCACAGGAAGGTTTAATATTACTATCCTGGCCACTGTGTGTTGCAATGATAATGTAGTTTTCATTTTGCCTGACAGGACCATGCATATCCAGCTGACGAGCTCATGCCTCTCAGTTGTAAAGGCCGTGTGAGAGGTGTAGACCCAAGTCGGGGTGATGTAGATGATGCTCTTGGAAAGTAAGTCAGTGCCTCACAGCCATATACTTAAGCTTTTATTTCACTAATAAATTGAATTTTATTTTGTCGTTTTAAGGTACATGTAACTTGTATTATTTAGCCTGCAAAGGTGACCATCATTATCGAATCTTACATTGTACATTTTACAATAATTGTGAGATTTTAGAATAACACTAAATTTACTGTGATGTATGGACACCATAAGGGAAAATCCATTCTTCAGATCAAACCTGTTAGGATTAGCTTTCAAGGGTCATACATGTAAGACATAGAGTGTGCGGGTGTTTTTTCAGTGGAGCTTTTCTGTTTGTTACGCTGTTCTGATGAACCACAATAGTAGAAGATGAAGATGATTTTTGCTTCTAATAATAATAATAATAATTTATTTATTTAACTATAGTTGGTATGATATCTGTAAAGATTTTACCAATGAAGTAAATGTAGTTTTTCTGTGTAGGTGTAATAATGACGAAACAGCTCCATAACTGCATTACAACAACAACAACAACAACAACAAATTTTATTGAAAATTGGAAAATAACTAATTACATTACTTTCCCACCCGCAAATAGCTTATGAACTAATCGAGGCGGGGGGAGCTGAAGACATATTACAAAACAAGAATTATATATAGATGGACTAAATAACAGTGAAGACACTACAATACAGTAAATAGAGTTTAAACTAACATAAAACAAAAAACAAAAAACAAGGCATGTACATAACGATTACGAAGAGAGGTTAACTAAAGTATTAAATAACTTAATAAGACGGGAGACTTTGACATAATCATCTTCTGACCGCAAAAAATTTAGTAATAATTCCTTTATTTTTTTTACGAAAGGACTAACGTTTAAGTATTTTAATCGAATACGGAATAGAGTTCCAAATTTGGGCACCGATTCTCGTGAAAAAAGGCATACATTTTATCGGTTCTAGAGAACTTAACATAAAACGAAGTCGCTAGAGACAGATCTTGTTCTGTAGTTATGAATCTGACTTGTTTTAATGAACTGATTGAGAATACTAACTGGTGCTGTCTGTCTGTTGATATCATACAATAAATAGCTACAATCCCTGAAAAATATGCTAGGCAGGGGAAGGCAATTTGATTTGAGAAAGAAGGGTGCGGCGTGTTCCTTAGACTTACTGAAGTAAATGAGGCGTAAGGCCCGTTTTTGTAGAGTTACGATCTTTTCGTTGAAATGTCAAGGCACAATTTCCCCAACCACAAATACCATAAGTCAAGTAAGGGACAATTAATGAGTTGTAAACTGAAAGTAAAAAACACGACGCGGGACATAATGTCGAATTTTAGCTATAATTCCTATCGACTTGCTGATTTTGTGACAGACAGATTCGATGTGGTATTTCCATGAAAGATTTGAATCAATCATTAAGCCAAGGTATTTTACATAATCTTTTATTTCAAGGTTTTGCGAGGTGTTAGTCACGGAGTCAAAAAATTCTAATCCTAGGTATGAAGGGCATATTCTTTTGCGGGGACGAAAGATTACAAAATTTGATTTTTTTATGTTCAAGGACAGTTTGTTGGCCTTTAGCCATTCGTTGACGTTGCCAAGCTCGCGATTAACAAGTGTTTCGAGTTCCTTTAGGTTGTTATTTGCAAGTATTATACTAGTATCGTCAGCAAATAGATAAAAGGCAAATAACGAAGAGGACTTGTATATATCATTGATGTACAGTAGGAATAAGAGTGGTCCGAGGACTGAGCCTTGTGGCACGCTGCACAAGGTCGTTTCAGCCTCAGACACAACATTATTAACTTCCGTAGTTTGCTTCCGATCAGTCAGGTATGATCTGAACCAGGAGTTTATTACACCTCTAATACCATAATTTTCAAGTTTAGCTAACAAAATTTCATGGTTAACAGTATCAAAAGCCTTTTTGAGATCGATGAAAACACCGCACGAAAATTTACCGTTGTCCATGTTTTGGAGAATTGTGTTAACAATATCAAGTACAGCATGCTGAGTACTGTGCTTACTGCGAAAACCGTATTGCTGATCATAGAGAATGTTGCAATCTTTGACAAACTTGGTAACTCTGGAGTACATAAGTTTTTCAAAAATCCTGTTATAAATCGAGAGCAGAGAAATAGGTCGGTAGTTTTCGGGCAGCGTGTCATTTTTGTCCTTAAATATCGGGATAATCTTAGCACACTTTAGTTTAGATGGAAAAATCCCTGAGCAAATAGACTGATTAAAAACCGTAGCTAGAGGTACGGATATGACCCTTTTTGCTAATTTCAGCAGCCTAACTGGAGATGAGTAGAGACCATGGGCCTTGTTGTCTTGCAAAACTGAAATTTCTAAATTGATATCTTCCAGAATAATAGGATCAAAGAAGAAAGTGCGATTAAGTGGCGGATCTAAATAATCATAGAATGTATTTATGGTCTGAGGAATTTTAGAAGCCAGTTTGCTCCCAACAGTGGCGAAATATTTGTTAAGAATATTGCTTATTTCCTTCGGGTCACTAGTTGGAACCTCATTCGGGTTTGAGCGAATAGAGTTAGTTGAGTTGCGCTTGTTTTTCTTTTTACAGTTTCCAATTAGCTCGTTAATTCCTTTCCAAGTTTGACGCATATTACATATGTTGAGATCAAAGAAACTTTGGTAGTAGTTCGCTTTACTTAATCTCGTAAGATAAATGATTTTATTTCTGTAAAATTTGTATTTGTCACGGTCTGAGGTATAGAAGAAGTTATTCTTTACCCTGATTGATTTTCTTAAACCCCGTCAGCCATGGTTTAGCAAGGAATTTTTGTTTACGATTGGATATACTTCTTAAAGGGCGTGTTTGTTAATTGTCTTGTTGACGCATTTGTAAAACCTGGAAAACGATTGATTGACATCGATATGTTTGCAAATATTATTCAATTAATATTCTGCAAGTCGTCAATGAAAGACTTTGCATTGAAGGTAGAATAGTCACGAACCTTAGTTTTGTTGTTTGGAAAGAATGGTTTACAGTGCGACGATAATATGCACATCTGAGAGAAGTGATCTGTTGTATCGGACACGATATTGCCGCTGACTATATTATTCTCAGGATTATTTATGAAAATATTGTCAATTAAAGTTGCTGAATTACCATAGACTCTAGTCGGCTTATCAACCACTGGGAACATTGAAAAACTTTGCATTGTTTGGAGCAAGGTTTGTGTGTAACTACAAGTTTCATATTTTAACAGATCTATGTTGAAGTCTCGCATGAGATAAACATTTTGATTTTGACGGCATTGGCGTTCAAGAAAATCTGTCAAGTATTCTAGAAACTCATTAGCGTTATTGTGTTGCCTATAAGTAACACCACATACAGATTTCTTATTGTTAGGCAGATGAAGTTCAATCCATAGGGCTTGATAGCAAGAATTGGAGACTCGTTCAAGGACGCGGTATTTACAATTTTGATCAATGAACAGGCCAACACCACCGGCAGATAAAGGTGTTGGGACCGATTCAAAACAGTATCCTGGTAATTCTGGTACAAAATTAAAACTACATTCACGATCGCATATACGAGTTTCTGTAACACCAATAATAGTAAACGGAAATTCATTTCACTTAAAACATGATGTTGAAATTCTTCAAAATTTTTCTTTAAGCTACGTATATTTGTATGTAAAAGGAGATTTTTGATTGCAACTGTTTGCTGTCAACAAACTACAATAAAGCTGTGTGGGGAATAATATTTTGAGCGTATTTTGTTTGAGGTGAGATTTATATCAGGATCAATATGTTTATCAAGAGAGTTTAGCTGGAATACACTAAGGTCGTAGAGACTACTGAGAGAATCTAGCAATTTTCTAGAAGGTCGATTATCATCAATTAAACTATTAAACTGTGGGTGGGCAGAAGTGATTATTGTGTCTGTCTTTTTTTTCTAGATTTTCCTTGACTTTAATTGACACACTAGACACATTAGCGGTAAGTCCTGTTGTCAGCCTGTGATTCATCTTGAGTTTTTTTTACTTTGATTGTCTATCCTTGCTTTGTACTCAGCAATTATTGAATTAATTATTTAATTCGATTATTTGTAGGTTCTTGGTGAAATCGAGGAGTTTGAAAAGGCAGTGAGACTTGTTATCAAGGATGTTTCATTTGACAATGATGTGGTTGTTTCTGTCTTTGAAACCAACATAAGAGTGTTAGGGTAAGATAGACTTATATTTAGCTCAAAATCGCCTAGGCAATTGCCTGTGACCTTCAATATTGTTTTATTTGTTAGAACAGTCATTTCACAAAGAGATGCTCTAGACCAGTTCAATAATACTGTATTATTGTAGTTCTCCAGGTGTGTGAGGGTACTAGGCCAAAAACTGCCTGAAACCTGTACCCTTCAGTCAGTCGGTTATGCTTGTGGAATGTACAGTCAACTTTCTCTTATTGGACACCTTCAATAGTACAGACATCTCTCTACAATGGACACAGTGTCTGCAATCCCAAAGGTGTCCATCTTAGAGAGATCTAGCATGTACTACATGTAGTCATACATGCATACCAACTGTCCCGGATTAGTCACCAATCTCACGGTCTCCTGTACAGGTCACCAAATCTCCCAGATAATATTCAGTTATGAGCTTTTCTGTGCTTTAATTTAGAAGTTATTCCATTTTCTCCGAAAATTTGAATTTTCTCTGATTCATAGTTCAGTTTCTGGGGCATTTTTGCACATATTTCATCAATATTTCACAAATTATTTCGCCATTGCAGTTATAAGAGCGATTTGTGATGGTCTGTACCTCATGTAAGACTTCATACAATAAATGCCAAAGAGAGAGTTTCCAGATTTTAGATTTCCAGAGGTTGGCATCTCTGTGTAGTATAGACTTATGACAGATAATTTATGCATTTCTGGCTCTCATAGCTGATACATTTTACTCTTGTTATTATGTCTGCTACATGTATCACAAAAATTGGCCACACCCTTGCACTGGAGATTGTGTATCCAGGGTGCATTGATTATTACATGTACTAACATTCTGCAAAACAAGGCTTTCATACAGTTATTTGTGGTGAGACACGCATTTTTGGCTCAGTGAAAAAGCTTTTGCGTTCCTTTTTTAAAAGAAAAAGATAAAGATCCCTTATCTGCAGGGTATGTAAAGTCATGCAGATGTATGTGTTTCTTTTTTTTTTTTAGAGGCCTTCTTGGTGGGCATTTTGCTGCACTATCGTTGAAGAACACTGGAAAAGGCATGTCATGGTATAACAATGAATTGGTTGCCATGGCAAAGGAGATTGGATATCGTCTGCTCCCAGCCTTTAATACCACCACTGGAATCCCTTACCCCAGGGTTAGTTTTTCACTGTTATTTTATGCATTTTAAAAAACTTATTACAGTTCAGATGTCATGGCTTTATTTTGTGCTATTCAATGTTGCAAGTACATTTTGCTATTAGTAATACACCACAATATAGATTGACTTTTTTGTGCTTCAACAGGGTTTCCCATTTGGGGAACATATCTGGGATTTTGACTCTGTATGTACCCAGAACTGTCTAACGCTATAGCTCTAGGTTGTATGTCGTTTTTTATTTCAATGAGTAATCTTTTAAAGATAAATTAGTCAATTTGACAAAATAATGTTATTGCCTTTTGAAGGATGTTGAAACCTCTTTAACTTGGCTATTTTTGGAAGTGAGGAGTTTCAATTTCTTATCTTATCTTGATCATTAGGTTAACCTGAAGTATGGAATTCACCATCCGTCATCAAATACTGGTAGTGAGTCTGACACATGCACAGCTTGTGCTGGCACAATGATTATGGAGTTTGGTGCTTTATCCAGAGTCACTGGAGATCCAATATTTGAGGTACACACTTTTGTGTTTGATCACTGGTATTAATTTCTTAATTTTTTCTCTTGAAAGGAAAGGTATGCACTCTTGCTACTCATGGTGGCCTCAGGTTAATGTTTTTGTTAATGTTGTATACCTGGAAGCAGCGTGGCAGAGCGGTTAGGGCCTAGACTTGTAATGCGGAGGGGGTCCAAGTTTAATTCCTGCCCTAATCGCCAGCTGGATTTGTTCTCAGTAGTTCTGAGTTCGAATCCTTGGCCACGCTTGTAAAATAGCCAACTGTTTTGTCTCTTACCAGTTGGGATCCTTAACTTTGTTATTATCAATTTCAATTGTTTGTTTCATTATCACTGAAAATCCCCACAAGTGGAGAGGATTTATAATGAAGTATTTATTTTATTATTTATTTTTTTTCATCTTATACTTGCCAACATTTGTGAAATCATAGGCATGACATTTATTCTAAGTGTGACAGGATTTTTCTCAGGGAACCAATAATATCTGAAGCAAAGATTTCTGATATCTATCCAAAGAGTTTTTAAGTGCTCAAGAAAATAATGATTAATGATTTTTTCCTCTGTGGACTTTAGGAAAGCGTGATCATTCTTGGACTCTTCTTTTCTTGCTTGGGTTCAAGTCTATTTTTCTTCTTGAATGTCTCAAAAATGTGCCTATAGATATTAAGGCTGTACATGTAATAGCTGAAACTTTTCCAGTTGGGAGAAATTGGTCTGGTACAAGTAACTGAACTGAACTGAACTGCCTCCTGAAATAATGTACATGTTATATTATGAAATAACTGAAATAATAATTTTATTTGGTTCATCAGGAGAAGGCCCAGAAAGCTATGGAGTCAATCTGGATCTATCGCAGCCGTTACAGTGATTTGGTTGGAACAGTTATTAACATTCATAATGGAGACTGGGTTCGCAGAGGTAAATAATGAATGAAAATGAAGTAAAATGCATTTAAATCCAACATAACTCACAAACTTGACATACATTGTACAACAACTGTACTTTATCAGTTAACTTATTCATTCCTGCAAAGTCTGTCTCATTCTGCCTCAATTTTATGGTATTGTATGGAATATAGGTGTGTTGAAAGTTTCTTTGGACCCCATCTGTCACCAGCTGCCCCGATTTATTATAGTTGACTTTATTGGTCCTTCACTTACATCAAACCATGACGTCACTAATCTTCTTAAAGTACAAGTATAAATGCCCTGAGCTCATTCATCATCATTGATAATTATTTTCCAAAAGGTCATTTTACTTCATTCTTGTCCTTCAACAGACAGTAGTGTTGGTGCTGGTATTGATTCATACTATGAGTACTGTTTGAAAGCCTACATTCTGTTTGGAGATGAAACTTACTTGGAAAGGTTCAACAGGGTATGGAGTCATCTTTTTCTTTTCACTTTAAGATAGTAACAAGACTCAGTTAGCAATCATGGTAACAAAAGTCATTTTTATAAGTGAGAATCCAGTCTTGCTGATTCTCAAATGGAGACTGTCAACTTACTTTTGAGTGATACTTAAGCTAGAAATTATTGATTGAAAAGTTATTTTATTAACTAGAGTTGTATTGACAGTGAGCCTTACCCATTTTGCTAGTCATCTATGCCTCTTAAATTGTCTTTTTGTAATTTAAATGGACCTTCATCTCAAGGAACTATAGGATTACACAAGTATTGCATTGTAAAATAATAAAAATATATTTTCCTTTTCATTTGGTTTGACACTTTCAAACAGCACTACAAGTCAATAATGCAGTACATGAATCAGGGCCCAATGTTCTTAAGTGTTCAGATGCATCAGCCAGATAGAACAGCTCATGCTTATATGGATGCATTGCAAGCTTTCTGGCCAGGGCTTCAGGTAAGATTTTGCGTTGTGTTCTTTATGCCTTGATTTTGTCTTTAAACTACATGTAAAGACAGTAGTGGTATGTAAGGGGAAAGAGGGCTTTAGCTATAGTATTTCCTTTTTTTAATTCTATTAGCCCAGCAAAGTGCAACAAGACAGAACAGGCAAAAAAAGTGTTAAGGGCAAAAGGAAAGTTTGCAAAAACAGCAAATATAGGATAAGATCAAAACTATGAAGAACTACAGTAATTCTTAAACAAATTTGACCACTTCAAGTTCTCCTATTTTTGCTTTTTACACCAGTGTCATGCATGTTGCAAACACCTTATAGTGTGAGTGTCCATGTAGACATTTATGTCTATTAAAACTTTGTCACTTACAAGGCTGTGCTCTAAGAAAAATTGAACGGAGCCCAGTGCTTGCAGTGTGCACATTGCTCTGAATCTGTAAAATCCAGGGTGCCCAGTGCAACATTTTCTAGTCATACAGAAGCAAATTTAAGTTAGGCACCAGGGGTGACCTGGTGCTGTTAGAGCAAAACCAGTTAAGTGGTGTTTCCTAATTGAACAGTATCTGCATTTGTTATTAAGCACAATACCCGTCACAACTCTGGGGGTGGGGCTGAAAAGAGACTTGTAGGCCTATTGATTTTTGGATGCCTCATAGTGGGGGCTTATTAGGGACCAGGGACTGAAAAGTATAGAGGAATAAAATATAATAATAACTATATCTCCATGTTCAATTTTGTAGGTGCTGAAAGGTGACCTGAAAAAAGCAATCGAAACTCACCAAATGCTTTACGAAGTTTCCAAGAAACACACCTTTCTACCTGAGGTAAAACTGTCTGTTAATTTTTTAAATAATTTATTTGGTAAGGATTCTCAAAGGAGTTTAATTTTTGTGCATCATTGTCATGACTGGAGACAGAGAGATAAAGTACAACACTAGTTTCATTTTTGTTGCAATATATACTGTATGATATGATACATATATGGGCTAAGAAGCAAAATACTATTGTGCTGTTTTTGCTTGTTTCTGCAGTGTTCTATTTTGGGCTTATCACTGGTTTGTCAAAATAGTTATACAGTTGAATAGACATTGTACATTTTTGTAAATTGGCCCTTGCTCACTTACAGGTAGATAGTATCACATGTATGATCTGTGCTTGTAGTATTATGCATCAATGACCAAGCTCGAGGTCAATTTGGCTAGAGACATGTATTGGCCAAGTTTTTTTTTCCATTTTTATCCACAAACAACAACAAAGCTAAGGTTCAGGCATCTTGACCAAACATTTATTATATGGCCAAGAGAACTTTCTTTTTTCTTCTTCTTTTCTGCTTGGGTAGCCAGTCAGGAACCTGGATTTGCTTAATCTTGCCACCTCGAAGAACAAGTTGTGTGATAATAATTGGCATTATTACATGGTATAAACCCAGTAGGTCAATAAGTATAGGTGTATGTAGATTTTTGTTTCTACCACTACCAGTTTGAGCAGTTTTTTTTATCTTTCTTTTTTTCAAGGCTTTCACCACAGATTTTGAGGTGCACTGGGGACAGCATCCTCTTCGCCCTGAACTTGTAGAAAGTACTTACTTCCTTTATGAGGTGAGCTATTTATGCGTAAGTGTTAGTCAAAGTTAATAACCAGTTGAAGAAGTAAAGAAAAGGTGTAAAATATCAGAGGGTTTCGTTGGGCATCTTTTGATTTTTGTCATGTCTTAATTCTCTCACAAGAAATGAATAAGTAAATGGACCATGTAATGGTTAAGGTTAAAAAAGTTTTCATTTTCCCACAAACCCAAAAGGGGATTGTTGGGATCCTGAGTGCAGCTACGATTAATTGATAATGTGTAACTAATACGTATCAATTAATTTAAATTTCTTGTCTCATATCAGACGTAGATGTTTATTTAAACATAATTCATTTCAATTAAATATATTCTCCAAAATCTCATTACTTTGCGTTGTGTGGTGAGGGAATTATACTCAGTAAGATATTTTGTCTTTTTCAGGCCACAGGTGACCCATATTATCTTGAGGTTGGTAAGAATATAGTGGAAAAGATCAACGAACATGCCAGGGTCCCCTGTGGTTTTGCTGCTCTTAGAGACGTTAGGACACTTAGTCATGAAGACAGGTATATCCGTTAATAAATACTTCTTTTCCTCTAAGAGATGTTATGGTAATGACTTAGTGCAGGCACTTATTAGAAGTCACATAAAATTTGCCTTAAAGTAAGAAGATGGAAACAAGTTCACTGACGGTGGCATTTTTATTGCAAAATGTGCATCATTTACACAAATGCTGTTTTATATGTATTATATATATATTTCTAAATTAAACTTTTAAAAGAAGGCAGTATGGCTGAGTGGCTAGAGTGCTTGAGTTTAAGTCTCGCCCTGAATTATTTTGGGACTTTGATTGCTGGCCACTTACATGTAATAGACAGTGGCTGCTCAATAGAGGTTCAGTTCTGTTATGTGTTCCTTAATGAATCACAACCCTGTTATGAGTTTACCAATGTTAGTGAATTACTGGACTTTATGATGATGAATTTCCCCATCAAAATCTCTTTATTTTGCTTCCTTTCAGGATGGATTCATTTGTCCTTGCAGAGACATTTAAGTATTTATATCTTCTGTTTACCGAAAAGGAAGACTTGGTATTTAACTTAAACCAGTTTGTTTTCACCACGGAGGCTCATATTCTCCCTCTCAGCTTGTCCACCATGGCTGTGAATGAATCTGCCTCACAAGTAAGACACCTCATTTAATAATTATCATAATGATAATGATGATGATAATAATAATAAACTTGAAATTTACTTAAAAATGTACATGTAAATAACTGGAGGATATTGATTGATACTGCCTTTCTTTAGAATTACTTCAACCTGTTTGTCATCCACCATCTGTTTTGTACACAGGAACTGAAATACAATGTGACCTTGAGTTCAGAAAATGAGCATGAGTATACCTGTCCTATAACTCAACACGATCAAGGCTCAACTGCAAAGTTTGCAGAGGAGGTGCGACGAAACAGCCGAGCTCAAAGAGAAGGAAGCTGCCCCAACAAAAAGCAAGCTTTTGCGTTTAGCAATAACAAGTGAGTTAAGTTTTGTAATTTTCCTTTAAATTGAAGCTGAAGACAGTTTCAACTTGTCATGTGGTAAAATAAAGAAATGTGATCACAGTGTAGTATCCTTCAGCAAAAGAGCTGTTGAACCATGAACCAATGTATTTGTGTATGATCACACCATGTACAGGATTTCAACCACAGGCTCTCTGTACATTATGTAGCATTTTGATTTATACTGAAGGAACGGACCTCTCTTTGTGGGAGACAGTGTGCGAGGGATTAGAGCGGTGGAATTGCAATTCGGAGACTGCAAGTTCAATCCCTATCCTAACTGCTTAGCTGAATTTGGGATGATGCTTGATATACGAAGTCAAAATATACACTATTGTGTTGTTCTAGTGTGTGAAGTTTATTGTGTTATTGTGTAAGGGCTAGGGATCATTGTTGTGTTCTTTGTGACATAACTCAAGACTTGCTATTCACTTGGTATATGGTGCACTAGTTTGTTCTCTGTAGTCCTGACTTCAAATCCTTAGTCAGGCTTGTTAAAAGCCAACTGGTTTGCCTCCGGCCAGTTGGGATTCTTAACGTTATGTTAATGTCAAAGCTTTGTTTCTGTCCTTATGTGTGGACTGCAATAAAAACAGCTGGCTCATCAGTAATTATGCTACCCCTATAGGCAACTCTTTGTTTACAATTTTTGCCTCATTAACATATGCTTTTCATTATCTGAGTAAGTTAATGAAATAAAACTTCTGATTATTAAAAGAGCATAACAATTTCAGTTATCTCTGAAAATTTTTGCCCGATATACCGAATGGCCTCAGAGAAATTCTCTTTTAAAAACTCGAAATTTTACAAAGAATGTATCGCTCACTAATTTTTTGCCACACAGCAATCTCGTAGTTTTTGATGGCTGATATTTCTTCAATATTGCTTGCAAAGAGCTGAAAATTGCACAAATTACTCAAGTTAATCAACTCTTTCAACTTTTGAATTTAGTTTGTATATATGGGTACGACTTCCATGAGTTAGGTTGTATGCTAATGAGGAAAAATGTAGACAATGGCGTCCAATATACACCTTACTCAAAAATAGCAGCAACACTACCTTTTTTATCAGGGGCACCCAACGAGGATATAGTTCAAAACCACTTAACATAGCATTGTTGAACGTATTTTAGTATTTAAACGGTAGATATAGGCATATTTTTATCCCCTAAAACTTTTCATCTGTTCGGATTTCCTAGCTGAAAGTCTAGTGATCCGAAAATTATAGGGATAAAAACTCACCTTCTCGAAAATTTCAGCCAGGAAAAGGCTCCCGAAAATTCTAGGTGACCTTTTTTAAGGTCAAAATCCGTTAAAAATGGGTAATTATACCATTTTGTAGATGTTGGAAAATCTTAGGAGAGGCAGGCAAGCAAGAAATTTTACAACAAATGCTCCGAAAATTCTAGATCTCAAATCGTCTTCCGAACAGATATTTTCCCGAAAATTGCCGTTGGGTGCCCCTGTTTTATATTTATGTTAGTTATGCCTCCTTGCCTTGATTGTACTTGCAGAATTCAAATGAAATTTTACCTTAAACCGAGGTATCAATGACCAATGACCATGTAGGCAATGGATTAACAAGATTTGATGCCATTTTGGAATTAGGTGTAGATTGTCCTTTTTTCAGGAGTTTGTCAATAGCGTACAGATGTAAACCTAAGAACTCGTTACATAACAGGTATCTTCAAGTAAATTCAAAGAGGTATCTGGGGTAAGGAGAGGGGTGCCTAGACAACCTCCCCTCCCATCCATCTACCGTGTAGGTCCCCCCTTGATGTGAATCTGCTATTTCTCAGGCCTCCCCGGTTGAGAGCTGAGCAGTTTGTACCTGGTAATCAGCATCATGTAATGATTCTCAAGTCCATGGGAATCACTGTAGTTCATACAAAGGATGGTAGAATACAGCTCATGCAAACGGCTTCATCGGTAAGAATTTAAAAATGTCCTAATACAGACACCTCGGTTAAACGGGCACTTAGATTTGGTGCCTGCCTTTCTTTACTCCCTTTAAAATCTGTTCAGTTAACTTACAGTTTTTTGCTTTATCAAGTTAAAGCACTCCCGCTTATTTACAAACCCTTTCACTTCCAACAGAGGCTAAAGAAAAATTAAACTTTCTTTCTGTTAAATCCTAAGAAATTAATAGTAGTTCTTTGCAAAAGTTTTGCCAAAAAAGTTCTATCTGAATACTTACAACATAGGATTTTGTTTATAACTTACAGTTTAACCAAAACCAATAGAAAATCAAAATCAGAAGTCCTTAAGTACCAATTTTGGGTCGTTACTTATACAGTCGTATTTTGTGCTCTTCTTGGGCCAAAACGCTTCATAGCTTCATCGCAATCTGAAATACACAGGCTGTTAAAATTTGTTGCCAGATTCAACGATGAGCAATACATGTATCTTTAGTAGGGATATTGTTCCTATCTGCTTGAACAAAATTTGAGCCAAACATGACAAAATATTCTCAACAAATGAACTCAACAGATTTTGGCCTGCGCCCACTGTATGGGTCTTCATGGCTCAGTTGGTCGAGCACTGCAGCGCTAACACATAGGCCATGGGTTCGAATCTCGTTGAAGTCCCTAAATTTTGGGGGGATTAATTTGCAAATGCCTAAATTGTAATTACGACTGCGACGATCATATCTTCATTTAAGAAAATATTTATTGTACAATTCATTGTAGGCCGTCAGTGATGTAGCAAACGAAAGACGGTACACCGTTTTTATTGTAAGTTTAATATTTTGAACGAGCTAATCATAACACATTACTCTTCAAAAATAAAACAAAATATAAACAGGGTTCATAAAATTTAATCTAAATGTGTCATCAACTTGTTCAGCCTAAACTAACTTTTACTCTTCAACATGCAATGTTTTCAGTCAAAGTCAGACAAAAATTGCCCAGTGAACTCATGTTTGCCTTCTGTGCAACTTAGGGTACCTTGTTGTTTCTTTTGTCATTGCTAGGCTCAATCGCAAGATTATGCAGAAGAAGGCATCAAGTTTATGCAAGAGATGATCGAGTTGGCGAAACGACGGAATGATGAATCAGGTATAATGTTATTTTTGTGAATATTAATCGGAGTAAAGCAGGGTGCAAAGAAAGTCAGTTTTACGGCTTGCCATCCGGGCAAGTTGTCGCTAGTATGTAGTAGCCCAAGAGTCTTTTTAACTAGCCCCCAAAATTTTTTGATGGGCAGCATTGATTGCAGTTCTTCGTAATTTGAATTTCTTAAAATTTAACTTCACTTGCCCTTCCGGCAAGTTAAGAACAGAATTCAGCAGCCCGATTGCAAAATCCACTAGCCCCAGGCTATCGGACACGACTTTCTTTGCACAATGGTAAAGAAGTATATGTATTGAACAGTCAAATGAAGAAAAAGTGGGTAATCAAGTCACGACTAGTTATGGATTTACTTCCGATTTGCCGTGGAAGTTGGGGGAGATTTTTCAGTCAATCCAAACCAAACGCAACAACTCAACAGAAGCCAATCATTACTGTTATAAGCGGATTTGACATGGAATTGAGGCAAAATTGTTACTACATTGTTTTGACCGGTCAACACTTATTTCCATCCGCCAAACTGACGTTGACAGATTAATGATTCGTACACAAAGTAAGGGTTAGGGTTAGGGTTCTTGCAATGTATATTCAAATCAAACCATTCAATGTCAGCAAATCCTCGGTGGCCTGTTAGGGGTTAAAGTGATGCACTGCAGAGCCGATGCTCCGAGATCGAATTTTACTCGTGCCATTGAAGAGACCTAGACTTTTGTGAACCGAAATTTCAAGAGACAGAGAAATTTCATGTACGAAAAGTGAAATGTCTTGTGAGAGCCACGGAGGGGAAAATGTCAGTTTGGCGGATGGGAACAAGTGACGACCGTTTTGACCTGCTGGCCTCGTTTCTTGCCCTCTCAGACAAAAGTATCGTTGTGGTTCATAAAAAGTATGTCGCACTTTTATTGCCATTGAACAGTTTTCATTAGTTGGCTTGATTTGTTTGCAAACGCAGCTTTGACAATATTTGAACTTAAGTTTGATACAATTATGTACTAAAAATGATCATTGTTGTAGCTCCTCAAGAAAGCCCTCGCGTGGTTCAGCTTATGTCTGCCCCGTACAATGGAGATGTGGTCCTTGTTGCCTGCCCTGCACGATTTGGTTTGGATCTGAGCAAAGGAGATGTGGGGGTGAGTCACAATATACAGCATTTTAGGAGATTTACAAATCTTTCGCAATGCCCTTAGAATTTTTTGAAACAAACTATTCGTCATCTCATAAATAATTAGCTGTTCATGTTAGAGGTGACCTGGAAGGCGAACTAAGACGTACATTTTTGAAAGTGGAAAAAGAGATCTTCCCGAATTCGTGTAGTCGTAATTCTTTTAGAGACCAAAGTAATTAATGTTTTATCAGTTATATCAGTAAGAAAGAAACAAGCTGTCCACTTCAGAGAAATAAGCTTCCTCAATTTTTTTACTCTTGGCGTTTCAAACAAGTAAGTAATTACTCTCTTTCGGAGGTGATCAAGGATCTTCAAGTTTTGACGTATAAGTGTTTTTGTATAAAAAAGGCCTTTCTTATGATCATTCCATATATACAAGCCATGAAATGATGTTTGTCTTTTTGTTTTTCAGATGAGTGCTGAAGTAAGCATGGGCGAACCTTTCAAGGCATGTTCTCCTCTCACTAATGGCGAGGAGCTGAAGCACAGAATTGCTGTGTTAGAAAGGGGCGATTGCATGTTCATTGACAAGGCACGTACATGGTATTAATATTAATATGCGTCGGTTCCTCAGAATGATGGATGTTGTCGATTGGTGTAAGGGAGCTGGTCAGACCATTTCGAACGTGGTCATTTTATTCTTGACTTTTTAAAAGTGGTCTACCTCAGCTATATCCCTTCTGTTTAAATTGTTAAAGCCTGTTGGCTCAAGAAGGCGCTCCTCAGTATCTTTCTCTTGCTCAAGACTTTTAAATCTAAGTAGCTCTGTGAATTTTGCTTATCAGCACGATATGTTAAGATATTGTTAAAATAATTTCTGTTGCGATAAATTGATGCTTATAAAGTAGAAGATACCGGCACATAAATAGACACCATTAGATTTGAAGACGAAGAAGACCACAAGGACGAGATTAAACTTAATTTTTTTCACGTATTCTCAAGAAATATACACCTGGAAGCTTCATTGTAATAGCACGTTTTTATTTTTGGTGTAGGAGGCGGGGCTGGACACTAACGGTAGCCAATTAGCCACAGACTAGTAGAAATTCAGTTCAACTAACAGGTGTTCGATTTCCACTAGCCACTTTGGCTAGTAAACAAAATGAAATTGACCGACCTACGTCTTTCTCAAGGAAGACGTCTCCGCAGGGGCGGATCTAGGAGGAGGGTGCAGGGGGTGCCCCCCCCCCCCTCCTGAGATGACCTGCGGTTTTCTAATACAACTGGTATTCTGCAAAAAAAAAAAACTATGTGGTTTATTGGTGTTGAAGTAGAGCAAGAGAAGAGTACACCCCCTCCTAAAAAAAAATCCTGGATCCGCCCCTGCTCCGAATAACATTTGATAACTTGTTTCCGTCACTACGTGGTTCTTGCCAAAACCCATCCTCGTAGAATGTCGACAGCTATTACTTTTTCCAGCCAAAATGACAGACTTACGCAAGTACACTATTAAGTCCTTATAGCTGGTTCACGCGCGCGCACTACTTAGTATTGAGAAAATCTTGTTCTCATAGTCGTCCTCGTCTTAGAATGTAAAGATCTCTAATGACCACTTGCAAGGTAAAGATTGCGGTAACCATGCAGGCTTACGTCGCGCCAACAGCCTTCCAAGGTGGACTAACTGTACTCGTAATTGCTCCATGCAGCCGAAGTAGTCTTTTTGTACTTTTACCCCTCCTCTCGAGGCTCGGTACTTTTCTGAGTAATTGTTCATTGTTTTTGTTTCGTTAACAGACTCGTCACGCTCAAGCCGCGGGTGCAGTAGGGGTCGTCATCATCGGTAAGAGTGAATGACAACTTTAACGTTGAGTTGCCCAAAAATCATGCTTTCTTACTGCGTTTTTGTTGTCTCTTGTTATCCCGTGTATTACCGTGATATAAATGTTTTATCATAACAAATTCGGTCAAAACTTAAGAAAAATATTTGATTGGAATGTGTTTCTTTTGTTAACCGACGTAACTGTGCGCCTTGCGTTAATAATCTTGCCTCTCAGTTCTTGAGGCACTGCTTGGCGAAATGCCCCCTTATTTGCTAGCGCTCTACATCAGTTACTTTTTTTCTGTATTTCATAATTTCTTGCTTGCTTTTGTACAAATTTGAATTGACCAGACAAGCGCGATTTTTCCTTTACGTCCTGTCGCGTCCCGTCGTCCTAACATTTCCAAGTTACCCCAAGCCTCTGTTTTAAAACGAGGCTAAGTGTGAGGCTTTCGATGTAAAATTGATTGTTATTCTCATGCAAATGAAGCTCATTCTGAGACCTTGGAAATGACCTTTAAACCAGTTGTTCTATTACGACAACAGACCAACTAATGCTGCGGATTTGGTTTGAATTTATTGCAAACGAAAAAGGGTCCCGCGTTAGAAATTGTTTCCTCGTTTCTTTTGATGCCTGTATGGTTTCTTCTCGCGTGTGCCCTGTATGTGCTGGTATCCATGCAGCTTGAACATTTATCATGTTCTAACTTTCGGTGTGTGTGTGTGTGTGTGTGTTTTTTTTGCGTGTAGATAACAATGAAGGCAGCTCTAGTGATACACAACCAATCTTTGCCATGTCCAATGATGAAGACAACAAAGACGATGTTAAAATACCAGCCGTACTTTTGTTCAGTGAAGAGGGTCGCATTCTAAAGAACGCCATGGCTGCCCTAGACGATACTGATAATCGCCTTACAGTGCGATTAGCTACTAAAGCTTCTGGAAAGTCAGGTTTGTCAGCTCTTGTCTCGTATTTCCATTAAACCCCACCTGGAAGCTCTAAAGATCTAAGGTTTAATTGCCACCTTAAGATCCGACGACGGCGACAGCAACGAGAACGTGAAAAAAGCAATAGGTTTAGACTAGCAAAACAACAACTTTGCAGGTGCAACACACTTTTTTTGTACATTCCTTTACCGTCACTGCACGACTAACGACGTTTTATGAAGGACGTAAACAAGCCACTACGAAATTTTCTTTCTCTTTCTGAACTTGGATATGGTTTTTAGGAATTCAACTCCAGGAGACTTCGCCTACATTTGACAAAGTAAGTGAGTTGGAACAATCGCGATGAAGATTGAAAGAACGCGAATTTACTTCTTAAGCGATCTTTTCGCTGCCGTCGCCGTCCTCGAATCTTAAGGTTCCTAATTTCGTTTGTAAGGGCGCCATTTTGGTAACTTGTCCACAGCGTTCCAAGTGCTAGGGAAAAAGGGCTGCCTTTTACCTTTCGTTTTGCCCGTTTGGCTTTCTTATTTTTGAGATATCTTGTATTGAATCCTAAACATTAGTACCGCAAAGTACTTCTCGTTAGCTTTTGCTTTGATACTGGTGTTCATCTGTCAAATGTTTGAACAAGGGCCATAATGGCTCTTGGTTAGAAACGTTGTCATTTGTAGCTGTGAGACTTTTTTTTTATATTTTGCTCACAGACAAACAAGAGGAGTCAGCAAGCAAACACGACCCAGAATCAAGTCAGGACTCTATTAATTCATCCAGTAGTCAGCCGTCTGGTGAAGGAAAAGTCACGCCATCAGTAGATGAAAACAAAGACATACTCAGCCATGATGGCGCAGATCAAAGCCAGAGCTCGCTCGACGAGCAAAAACAAACGAAGTCACCGGATAATGGTGACGAAGATATAGCTTCGATTACAACAAGTGGAAAAGTCGATGACTCCGCGGATCTTCCTCACGATAAACGCGTTATCTCTGTTGGTGAGGGTGAGTATGTGTTATGTGGTAACACAGGAACACCAGGAAGTGTTTCAGAAAAACCAGTTAATGACCAGCAACAACATAATAGTCAACATACTGATGACTTATCTAAGCAAGCTGATACTTCGAGTAGCGTAACGGACGCTCCTAAAGTGAATAAACCTCATGAGGACTCATCGTGTGACCAAGACTCGTCACGTGATGAAAGCTTATTGCGTGATCACGTTTTACCGCGTGATAAAGCAAATGGTGAATCTACAAGAACTGACAATAGTAACTCGAATCAGTTGCCAAGCGATCCGTCTTTAGTGAATGAACAGCATGCACAGAGCTCAGATCAAACCAGTGTTGAATCATTAGAGGAAACACAAATTGAAGATGCTAAAGACAGGACATGAATTATAGGAAACTTACTAAGAAATTATTTAACCTCAGTTTCATTTGTCGAAACTTTAATCACAACTACCAGTGTCCTTCACCTTTCCTCCTAGCCGTCATGTTGTCGGGGATGGAAGTAATATTTATCGTCTAGACTGTGAACATTTCCTCAGGATTGTCGCGCGGGTAAGGATGCACGTGCGAGCGAGCTAGCGTCGAAAACGCGCGAATCTCTTTTCGTTTTCTACTACTCGCGTTTGCCTCGCTCGCGTGCACGTGCATCCTTCCCCGCGCGATAATCCTGAGGAACTGCTAGCAGTAAAATTTTTGTCCTTTTACTCAATCGAATGTTGTTCAATTTAAAGTGGAAAGAAACACGAATAAGGACGTGGTCATAAATTTGTCTGGTAGTTGTGGCCAAAGTCCATGACATGAAATTTATGAACTCTTTACGTGTATGATGACCTCTTAAAACCTAGTAGTCCTATCAGCATTTTTAAAACGTGCCTACACTGTTGACCACTGGCAATTCCCGATAGGAGCGTAACCTGATAGCTAGTCACCAGGGAGCTTTGGTAATCATAACAGCGGAGGCAGCGAAAAGAACAAAAAAAAAATTGAAAAAGAAAATTGCAAATCAATTATTTTGTCAAACGAAGTCAGTCTCCTGGACTTTAATTCTTGGGATCCTCACCCATGTTCATAAAGGGGGGGAGTCGTCGACGTTTGTTTACGTCCCTGACAAAATGTGGCATAGTCGTGTAGTGAGTAGTAGATTAATGTACCAAGAGGTATATGATCCACATAATGAGTGTTTGTTTTGCCTTTTTAAAAACCTATGGCTATTTTGACATCCTCATTTCCTTTACCGCTGTCGTTGCTAAAGTTCCCCATTATCTGTGCTGCGTTTAAGTAAGATAAGTACTCAAGACGTGGACGTCATAGATACATACAACTCATTATCGTTTTTGTTGGGTTGTGTTTAGACATACAAGCATTCATTCTCTCGACTGAATACGTCATGATACACAGAAAAAGCTTCATAATTGGGATGGAAAAATAGGGTGGGGAAGGGAGGGGAGGGAGGGTTAGAACTGTTACTTTTATGCTGGATAACAAGAGTGCAATATACGTTAGTTTTTAGGCGTGTATGCTTGACAGGGTTGAATTTTTTTTAGGTAGCTATAAATTGTTAAAGTAATTTTGCCTTAAGGTTGAGATGAATTTCTACCCATTTTGTTGGAATACTTGGAAGAATATGTTTTGGTTCAATTTTGTCCCTGGTTTAATTTTTTCTTTTGTTTCAAAATCATTATCATATATCACCAATAAAATTTAAACAAGGATGAAATTTGAACCACAACAGATACATATCCCATCACCTACTGGCTTTGCTTATCAATTAAAAAGATTTGGCAAAGTCTGTTGGATAAGCAACGATATCAAGTGGGGTTTCCATAGCTTCTGGAGTTTATATTCCAATTCCTATTCAAGTTGAAGTTCAATAAGCCACTTTAGCCGAGTTCCAAAGACCCTTACTTCCAAAATGAGGCCAAATGCACAACCTTTCTTGTGAAAATGAGTTCTAGTTGCATGAGAATGAAAAATCATTTCCATATCAAAGGCCAAGCACTTCACCTCGTTTTGATACAGTGGCTGGGGGGAACTCGGAAAAGGCCTATTTGAGTAAACGAAAAATTATATTATTTATATAAAAAACGTGTAGTAAGTAGTAGATAGGTAATTTTTCCCGCTGGTTTGTTGCTCTCTTGACTATCATCTCGCTGGTATTTTGATATCAATTCCTTTGAACTGAAATAAAAACTTAAAAGTGCTCTGATTAATAGGCGAAAATGTTTAGTACCCAGGGGCGGATCCAGGATTTTTTTTAGGAGGGGGTGCACTCGTCTCTTGCTCTACTTCAACACCAATAAACCACATAATTTTTTTTCAGAATACCAGTTGTATTAGAAAACCGCAGGTCATCTCCGGGGGGGGGGATGCGCACCCCCTGCACCCTCCCTCTAGATCCGCCCCTGGTACCTGACCATATTTGGAGGAGGAAATCAAAATATCGCAGGAAGTCTCGTGCAACTGGTTAATATCTACTAGGACTTTGTGGCCAGTTTCACATACATCTTAACGGCTGACGCACAGCCTAATTAAACTCCGTTTATATCATTCCAAGCCAGTTGATAGTATTCGTCGTCAGCTGTAACGTTCATGTAACTGTTCTCAGGACCATTAATTTGCAAAGAACGAAACAAAACAACATCAACAACGAACTCTTGCTATGTTTTGATGTAATACGGCTGTAAAAAGTTCAAGTTTATTGGTTTGCCAGGCTTAAATGATTTAGGACATGTGTATGAAACATAGTCAACTGCATAGTGCTAAGGTAGCCTAAGTGAAACCACGGGGCTTCTAATCAATTGATTCTCTCTTTTAGCTTTTTTTCGTGGCTAGATGGAATTCCTGGTCGGACATCTTATAAAGCCTACGCAAGACTACAGCAAACATTGATTTACGTTGTTGCCCAATTTCACAGCAAGCGCATGCAACACTGTGTTGGCTTCGTAACTAGTGTCCAACCTCGTCTGGAGAGATTCCATCTCGCCGCGACCTTTTTGTAAAGCTCTTGACAGAACTCAAGAAAAAATGGTTGCCCGAGAATGCCTTTCCTTTCTTTTTTTTTTTTTGGGGGGGGGGGGCGAGAGGTGAGGAAAGAGGTGTGAGCTCTAGAGGTGTTGGACCAGATGTTGGCCCAAAAAGTGAACGGAAAAAATTAGAAGCGACAACAAAAAGCCAGGAAACAAAAAACAAAACAAAAAAGATCTGCATTCTCGTGTTCAAAACTATCATAGCAAATTGGCAGCAGCTCTTCAGTTTCCTCTTCAAAAGCCGTTTCGTTCCTCTTCTAACCACAAAAGTGACCGCTCATAAGGAGAAGAAGCGAAGGCATTTGACTTTTGTAACTGCAAAAGAAAAGTGTCTTGGATGTTGATGTTTGAAGAAAGGTTCTTTCCGATCACGCAATCACTTCAATGTAACGACATGTTACCTGTCAGCAAATATTTTTCGAAGAAATCTCTTCTCGCACCCCGCTACAACGAGCTCACGCTATTAAGAGCACTAACTAGCGATCCTGACGATGTCCGAAACAACGAGAGTTGACTGCTCCCTAAGTCCATCGCGGTCATGAACGTCTAGGACGTTTTCTTGTGTTATTAGCTGGGATTTCATTTACCGGTTACTAGAAACTTGGGCAAAGATGTATAAATAACAAATTAACGTAAGTATCTTTTCGTTTTCTTGAAATATTGAGTCTCGTTTCGTTGAAAACGCTTCGCGCCCGAATAGTCTTATGCTGGCAAAATCGCGCCGACCATAACAACAGTTTCAATTTTTAAACACTTAGAAACATGTTTAGTGAACTTTCAAAACGTTTAGTAAATTAGCAGTGTATTGGTAATAACTCAAACTTGCAATACTTAAATTAGAGACAACCTTAGTTTTGAAGTACTTTGCTTAGCTTTTCCAAGTTCCCCTTGTTTGAACTCAGTGGATGCCCAAGGTGACTTACGTCCCCTCCCCCGTATCAGAATCTCAGATCCGTTATCGCTCGCATTTGTTGCAATTTTGAGAAAAGCGGTTGTTTCTGGTGTTGGCCATGGTGCCATCATTAAATGAAGCACAGTTCGGTAACTCCCCTAACAGACACTTCCATCCTGGGCGCCTCTTTCTTATAGACAGCTGCTTCGGTCCTCTCTGGGCTCCGATGCCTTGCTAAAAATAATAGCCTCGCACTACGCACTCGTTTAGTATTTTTGGATGGAAAATATTCAATAATTATTCTTCGAGCCCGAATGGGCTATTCATTATTTTGAGACGGCCTCGGAGCTCAGGCATTACTCCCTTCGGCATTACCCAACATGCAACAATGGTAAACTTGCCAACTTTTCCAAAGTCAAATGCATGCGACTTCGGTATACACACTTCCCGAATTTCCGAAAAAATCCAACGAAATCAGGATGGTGCCGGAGACGTTCCGACGACTTTCAAACAAAACAGAACGTTCCCGAAGATTTCCAAAGACTTGCAAATGTAGCGGTGCGATGCGCCAAATCTTGGCGCCACCTTGCCGAGATTGCGCATTTGTATTTTTCGAAAGATAACCGAGCGCAGATAAGTGCTCCAACCCCCAAAAACACCCGGTCAAAACAGGCACGAAACAAACCACAATCTACAGCAGTGTCACAATGTAGCAATTTATTCTTTGTCCAAAACAAATCTAATATTACTTGTGTCTGAAAGAATCATTATCACATTTGCCGTATGTACAATAAGAATCTTATCTGAAACTATGAAGTGTGTGTGCTTCAAAAGCAATGTTGTCATAACTCTACAGTAATATCATTATTATAAACTGTACTGTGTACAGGGATAACATTTTCTATCATTGTATTATTACTAAGATTTCTTCTATCAAAGATAATAATAATGAAACTACAGCAGCTTAAAAAATTAAGAATCCTTGCGGCTATTAGTGGCAATTACCAAAAAGTGGAATTTTGTTTTGCGAGTTACGAGCCTGTGAAAAGTGGCATACAATTTAAAGGCCTCAGTTCGCTGTTAGTTCGGCAGATGATCATTAAAAAACCGTTTTTTAATGAGTAACCAGGACTGGGGCCTAAAATCGACGAGGAAGACACTCTCGTCGCAAGTCAGTAAAATCATGTTATAAAATCGGCAATTTTCACGAGGACTTTACCATCAACCACCAGAATCCTAGGGTAAAAATCGAGGGTATTGTCATTTAAATTACACTACAATTACAAAACTTCAGCAAGGAAATAGAAACAAAACGATTTTCTGTGGTTGAAGTAACCTCACGGCATCGTGAAAAGAGCAATTTTATGGAACTGACAGAGCAAGTGAGAGGGAAGGCATAGACTGGTAAAAATTGCAGTGGCAACCTCGTTCTCGGGTCTTTTCTGTTCCTCCCTGGAAGAACTGGGAACGAGGTTGCTACCTCGAGCAGACTAGGAAGAGTGGTCGTTGTCGACACGAAGTATCTCGGCGTGTCTCGTCCCGTCAGCGAACTTCGGGTTGATCTAAATTACAGGGAGAGAAAGCGCGGCCCTCATCCGTATCACCACCACTTTGCTTGTATCAATTAGCTTGCCCCATGAACAAACCTGCTCGCTAAAATAAAGAGGCTCATTAGATCGCTATTTAATGAAAAAGCGGTCTTTTAAATGTGCGGTTGCAGCATAATTCCCTCGGCTACTTAATAGGGTCGCATTATGAAGCTAAACCAGTTAACTACTCCGAACAAAACAGACAACTACAAATTAACAATAATAATAATAATAAAAAAGTTCCTGAGGCCAAACATGAATGAGTTCGTATCATTTGATCAGCTACAAACAAAAAAACCTCTTTTTTAATAATGAACTCATAGTGCTGCAGGAATCCAATCCCTCATCTCTTTATGGGATCAAAGAAGCTTCCGTTCTAAGCTTTTCTGCTTCTTTCCGAAAAATCCTTGTGCTGCGATTGATTTTTAAATTACTTATACAAAATTAATTTGACTTAAAAATTTTGCCAAGGGCTGCCGGCAGCTGGTGCTAAATACAATCGTCTGCTTTTTAACCAAAATTAGTGCATACCTTGCAAATAGACAAGCAATTTCCATTCCAAAACAAAGTTAGGATATTTTGCTTAAAAAGAAGTCTCAGCCAAGCTTGTGAAAACTGAAAATTCACAGCGCAAGCTAACTTACTAGAGTAACATTTGGTAATCTATCAAGTACTAATTTTTTGATTTTCTTTTAAGCCAGACTATATTTTTTATATATTAATTTATATTTCATTTGAACTGTCTATAGATATCAAATAAATAAATAAATAAACAGATTACAGAAAGAGTTTTGTAAAATTGGTTATCAAAAGCAAACAAATTTGCTCGCGTCGAAGTCTCTTCCTCGCTTAACTAACAAGAACGCGGCAAATTCATCCGAAATTTATTCAATAATCTCCTTTTACTATCTTGACTTGGCTTTGAACATAGCTCCATCTTTCCTCTCGTCGACCTCGTTGAATGCTTGGCGCAGAGAATTTTACAAAACTATTGGCAAGTGAATGGTGCAACGTCCATAAAAGAGACCATTACTTTTCGTTGTATAGCGTGAAGGAATTTGTGGAGTTTCTTCGCCACACTATTTTTCGTTATCCACTTATTTAATATTTTATGCCTCGAGGAAGTTTAAATCGCCTACTGCAAAAGGGTGGAATCACGTAGGGTCCAACGCTATGGCCCAAAAACTCACGTAATAAGCCCGCACACATGTCTCCAAAGTGACCAATTAGAAGGTAGTGAACGCACGTGATCGTCACGTGTATTTAGATGCTAGCACCAGTCGTCCTCATCACCCATGTCTTCTAGACCGTAGATAGCGTAAGGGCTTTGCCCACTTCGTATTGCCATGGCAATGTGTTGGTTCATATTCGGATGATAGCCGTTTTCTAGAACACTGTCGCCCCGGTTTTCCGGGAGCGCTGGTCCTTTACCGGTCAAAGAGAGTTGAGATCCAGTGCGAGAGCCAGGCGTCTGAGGCAATTGACGCCGATGAGGACCGGCTAGAGATGTGGTAACACCAGGACCACGCCCTTCATTTAGAGACGTTGTAGAGTGGTGAGCTACCGGAGGCATTTGATGGGACGGGTAGCGGGATCGGGTCGGGCTCTCCATTACCTATAGAAGAGCAGAAGAAAACTTTTTTTAAGAATGGGCTAATAAAAACCCGTCAATGGGTGTCGTGACCAATTATGGAACTTTCCAACTTAGTTTTCTGGGACCAAAACCGTTCACACGGAAGCACCATAACCGTACTAAAATTTAGACGCCTAGCCGTTCTTAAATTTGACCGCCAAAACCGAGGTCATATTTTTCGTCACGGGTAAGGTCAAAGGTTTGATCGGTGCTGTGTGAACATTATGTCTTAAGTATTGTACGGCAAAGGCGTGGTTGCATGGATGCGTGGTAACTCAGCTGGGAAATGTCATTTGGGACTTGCTAAAGTAGCGCTCTGCGCATGCGTAGACTTCCCTCTTTAAGTGGGGCCTCAGCTTTTCAGGCTGCCAGGCTGCGCATTGCGGTGGGTTCGTTCCAGTTCCTTGGAAACGGCAAAAAAAAAAAAAAAAAGGAAAAAAAGAAAGAAAGAAAGATAGAAAACGGAAAATTTTACCGTTTGTCTACATACAAGATCCGAGGACAGTAGCAGAAGTAGCAGTAAACAACAGACGCTCAGCCCAATAAAACGCTTTGTTATAAAGATACCGATGAAATACCACGATTTTTCATTTTACTAAAAAAATCAGATCTTCATCCCGCGCAGTGAAGATACTATTTTTAACTTTCAGATGTGAGGACATTGGTGTCGCTAGATTTCTAACATGATTAGCCAATTATTGTCTTTATTTCTCCATTACAACTTTATATCCGGGTGTGACAGGCATTTTGCGAGAGGTGACTGCTTTAGTTGCACTATTTTGCTGTTTCGAAAATGGATCAAAAAAAAGTTGTGTTCTATGTAGGAATTTCATCAGTGTCCTTAAAATAAACGGAACATTACATGGCCGCTTGGGCCACTTGGGTAAGGTTCTATGCAACCGAGTCCAGGCTTTCAGCCAGCCGCCATAGAACCACATCTCAACAGAATACACTACAACATCAGACTAGAGACCAAAGTCAGGGTATAACGGGTATACTGCAAGAAAATTACTCAGTTACTTTAAACTGATCAGTCTTACCTGGTGATTAGGGTGATAGAGGCCCTGCACGGAACCTGAGTGATACGGCGGACCATCAGTTAAACTAACTGCAACTTCTTGCATTTGAAGTCCCTGGCAAAAATGAGTTGTGTACATCAGCCTTGATCGAAATAATTCACTACTTTATTTTTTATCATTATATGCACTACCTTAAAATTCGCAAACGTCCGGGAGTTGTACACTTATAAAAAATTACAAGGCAGCAGGAAATTTAGGATTCAAGATCACTGCTATTTTAGGGCACAGATCTGAAAAAACGTAAACCTAGGGTCGATTTAATAAAACTCTTACAACTGTAATTTACAAGCTTAGCTATTGTTTTCAGACTCTAAAACACTGGCTACACTTGTAAAAGTTTTATTAAATTGACCCCTGATAACAATATGAGGCCCGCCAAAAAAAAAATAATGATAAAAAAATCGTCGTTACTAATCGCTCCGTGTAACATGGCCTTCAGTATTCATTTTGGATCGTTTGTTTCTTTCCTCGCAATCGAATCAAAAGATTTGTGATATCAAGAATCTAATGCTCCATTCTTCCAAAGAAACGCAACCAAACCTTCTATTACATCTCCATGATTCCTAGTTTGCCTACATTTACCCCACGTAAGGGAATCCAAGACAGTCTTGAACTCTGGATTCCACACCGTGTATTCCGGATTCTTGGTAGGTGGAACTTGGATTCCGAATTCCAATCGTTGGTGGGATTCCAGATTCCTTGAGCTGTAATGCGGATTCCACGAGCAAAATTATCTCGGGTTCCCTTACATGACGCAACTGAATGTTCCCAAACCTTACTACTTTCACTCCGCTCTAAAAAATTCCACCATATACAATGAAATCTACGAAGTCATGAAGTTATTTCTGATTGTGTTGGACCTCATAAGAGGTTAAAAAAAAAAAATGTAAAAAAAGACACTAATCTAATGTGACTGCGCGATGCGGTAGTTCTGTCAGCCCACAATTGACCTGCTCACCACTGAGTTCTCAGTAGCTCAGTGATTAGAGCATCCGACTAGTGTACGGAAGGTCGTGGGTTCAATTACCATCTGAAACTCAGAATTTTTTTCTGTGTCCTTTTCTCCACACATATCATTTCATTTACTATACTAATCTAAAGAACAGCAAAAAAAGTCAAAACATGGCCAACAAGCACGTTTCCACGGTCGTACGAATATCGGTCAAGTGATCTCCTGTTGTGTGAAGCATGTTTCATTTGTTTCAGTTTTTGGTCTGGTTTCCATGCAATAAAAACCATTTTATAACAAAGGAAATGTCAAGCAATAAAACTTGTAAGAAAAACCCGTTAGGGTCGGGAATATAGAACTAAATAGCAGCAAGATCGAGGAGATAGAAGAAAGAAAGAGAAGAGCACTTTCGAGAATGCTTATCATTTCATTTATTTTATTATTTATTAAATCAGCTGTTAGGTAAGCCCTATGCACCTATCAACAAAAATAATTTCTTGTAGACAAACCTGTTGTATTGTGAAAAAAGAAAGAGAAATTCACTCATCGTTAATTAAGGTGCAATAAAGGACGGACGGATGCATGAAGGTTCGATCTGGTGTGCTGGATTGAAGTTTGATGCATAAGGCTTACCATTGGTTTAAAGATTAGATTAAGACATAAAAACGTCACTGATTTTATTCGTTAGTATTAAACACGACTGAAAGTTTAAAATTACTTGAAAATAATGCGCGTTTTAAAGGAAGAAACGTTTAAAGTTAGCAGAGTAGATGAGTTTTAAGTTCGTTAATAGCAGAAGGGACGAACTCTTGGCTGGATGACCAGTGACCTCGACAAAGTTACTGTCACAGAATGTTTACGTGCAAGATTACGCGCTGGAGTAAGAATTAAACACTTCAGTGTATACCTCTCCTAATTCAGGGTCGTTTTCTCGTCGTAATTTCTGGAACATAGATCCGCCAACAAAGCGACTCAGAACAGTTCCCTGAGAAATTAACGCCAGTTGACAGTGATGAGGAAAATAAATTAAACCAGAAAAGGCAATAGGGCTCGGTGCGTGTAGCCATTCTAGGCGAGGGGAGCAAATGAGTCTACTGAAATGCAAAATTTTGTAGGGAAATTTATTTAAGATGTAGAAATATGGCTGTCGAGGCAGTTTATGACGTATTGATGCTGTTTATTTTGCTCAATGTACAAGGTGGCACACAGTGAAGTATAGAACGTATGACCAGTCAAATGAAAGCTACTAAACAGTGGTAATTCTAAACTTTGAGGATGTGGATAAAACCCTAACGTGCGATCAATCAAATGATAGCAACTGACTAGTGCTTTTTTGTGGTACTGTTTACTGTGCTGTACAAAGAGCTTCTCCCGTTTGTAGATAAAATCCACAAATGTGGCAGAAGAACAAAAAAGAATATGAATTATACAGCCACAACAACAACAACAACAACAACAACAACAACAACGACAACAACAACAACAAAACCGCAGAAAAACAGAAGAGTATCAGAGAACAAAAGGTAAAGACAAAGTAAAACCTACCTGGTCGGCATCCTGCTCCAAGGCAAGATAAAGAGAGAAAGAACAAAAAGAAGATAAGAAGTGCAGTAAAATCAACTAATAATGAAGTGTTCGTGTTGTTTGTGACAGACAGTTAGTCACTATAAACATATGAAGAAGCCAAGAAGGTCCTGGCCAAAAGTGAAACAACATTTAACAGCAAAGCACTGTGAAAGAGGACTTTGACAAATGTATAGTGCTTTCCTGTTAAATGTTTCCTTCTACAACAGTTAAGCATTTTATACAACCCCCAGGTTTATCTTAAGCCAACTTTGTCAATCCAACCAGTAGTTACTGAATAGACTACCTCTTAGAAGAATCTTGGGACCTTTGGCAGCAAGCCACCGCGCAAGAAGTGAGGAAAATTCTTGAAGTGCAGCGAAAACGATCACGGTAAGGTTAAAAACCGCAAAGGAACTTAAGAAGGCTAAATGCGAACAGAGAGTTTTCTTGTTTATCATCCTTCCCATGACCTCTTGTGCTGTGATTACCGTCAAAAACCCCAAGAAGCACTCGGATACGACGCTGGGGTAGGAACAGTTGAAGGAATAAACGACAGAGCTAGTTATCATCGAGCTATCTGTAATCTGCGATCAAGTACTATGTTTTGAAAATACTTCTTGTTATACTACAGTTAAATCTCTTTCTTTAATGTTAGGTTTTAAAAGCTTATCCTTAAGTTACAGATTATTTTACCAGAGCCCTTGGTTCCCTTGATCATCGGTTCAGAACACAACAACCGCTGACCAAAAAAACAAAGGCTACTCTGAACTTGTTTCTTAAAAATATTTTTTTGGTGTCACTTTAAAGGGTTAAAGGTTTATTTCGACGTTACTGTGACTTGTGGTTTAATGCATTAAACTTTCGTAAACATTTTTAGAGTATTTAGTTTGGGATACCTTATAATTTTACTTTGAGGAAAAATGTATTATATTTATTTTAATGCTATTAGAAATATTTAAAGTAAACGTTAATATTGGATTAGAGATATGATAATATTGTAAAAGGAAGAAAGAAACAAGGAAAGACCGCAGGAGAAACTAAATGTACAGCTGAAAGGGCCTTGGGCAGCCAAAGTTAGGCCTGAAGCACAATAATGACGTCACGACCCAAGAGAAAGAACTGGAAGGGAAAAACAGCGCGGCAAACAAGCCCACGGTAGAGCCCAGTCCTGTCCGGTACAAGGAACGATATTCTGCAGTCTCTACTGGATAATATTGAAAGGATCAAAATGTGATCGTTTTATTGTAAATACATGCTCTGAGCTCTGAAAATATCATTTCCCCCTTAAATTCTAGGGTTCTTAAGGCCTGTTTATGACGAATTACTCACCGACTAGAACCCAAAATCTGCTAATCTCTTTTACTGAGACGCTTTTTCTTATATTTGACGAAATAAAAGGACACTTTGAGGTCAGACCAATCCTACCTAATGACCCAGCAATTGCACAGTTGGACTGACCGAAACGATCTTTTTCATTTCATTTTCATCAACCCAAATCTGCCCCTGTAAAACAAAAAATAAACTTTAACAGCTCGTTGTCCAATTTACCTTATTCTGTACCTCTCCTTTCCGCCTCATAAACTTGTAGTTTTCGTAAATTAATTTGGCACAATATATTTTTCCCACGGTCATTTGCGGCTGCTGATTGGCTTGATTTGCTGGAAAATGAAATATTGTAAAAATTGTTACCTATTTACAAGAAATATATAGTAAACATGAAGAATACATGAAGTCGCATGCATTACATCTCAACAGATCATTTTCACATGACGTCACGGAGGCCATATTGGTGTACAAAACAATGAAACAGCGGCCAGGTTTCTGTCGGATTGAACTAATTTCGTATGTAAATTATTTCTTTTGTTACAAGAAATGATCATAGTTGCTGAGGTGAAAACGATCTACCAAGCAAAATGCCGCGTTCGCCTCGCTTGGCTCATAAAGTGCCCGTTATGCACGCTACGTTACTCAAGACTTTTACCCGCACTGGATGGTACCAGTGACTTTCACTCGCGACCCGCAACCGCCGACATTTAGCCAAACTCCATGACGACACAGTTAACTTGACCTGAAGTATCATCATAGCACACGAGAGAATTACTTGACATTGCAGGACTTCATATCTTGGGGGATTAGGTACGAGTCCCAGTATTATGGGACTATCAACACAAGACCCACACTGTTTCGTGTTACAAAAAGCACACCGAGTTTTCCACAATTCTCAAGTTTGGTGTTTATCAGGTCAACATTGACAGAGACACATCCATTCAAAAATTGCAAAATTAACCATGAAAGTCCGAACAAAGGTCAACAAACCATATGCATTTCTTAGTAAATATTCAAGTCTTTCCGTTAGAGTAAACTGTATTGGCTCTTCCTCGGTTCGGGCTCATTCAAGATAGCAAATTGAGACCCCTTACAGCGGAGTAACAAAGAGTTTAGCACCAGGCACATTTTCAGTGCCCACATGCCGCTCCGTTGAGCAAGCCCCAGAATTTTACAAAGCCGGGCAGCGCTATCCACTGGATAAGAGTCAGGAAACTGACTGCGCTATCCGCTAAGTAGAGATTTATCAAGCCGATACCGCTATTTACCTTTTGAACAACTGGAACCCGTAGCAAAAAAAAAAACAGTATCGCTCATACGTATAATGTATTTCCCTGCTCTCAAAATCTTTTATTGATTCTTACCATTGTTTATGAGACTTGGAGGTTTTGGAACAACTCTGTCCAAGGTCTTCTTTGTGAGTTTCGGCCAGACTCTTTTCAACATGGCTCTCAATTCCTTATCGTTTTCCTTAAGATTATCTGAAAAGAAAGAAGAATTTTAAATATTGTCCTTGGTCTGAATTTCGTAGATGCTGTCCGTCTTGGGCAGGTTTTTCTTGGTGCTGCACAGAGTTGCTTCAATATTTTGTATCATGTCACTTGGTGATAAGACCGTTTGCATAAGTCAAATCATTTAGCTTAAAAAGCCAATTACGTGGACGATTTTAGCTCTTACGTCCGAGCAGAGTAGTCCAAAAGTCGACCTTTTTTTTAGCGAAGAAAGTCGCGAGACCCAAGTCAAACCAATGAGCCAACCAAAACATCTCAGTTCACAGCCTATGTGTAACACAAAACAGGAACAATGAGAAAGACAGAGAGCAATCTTACTTTTCTCAGTCATTATCTTGAGCGAGGTCCGCACCAGGGCAAATAGAGTAGCCGTAAATGTGACCGTGTTATCTGGGTACAGCGGCATGTTCATCTTAATCAGGCGCTGAAAAAAAAAAGCGCAGGGTTAAGTCAACTTTAATTTACAAATCTATAATGAAAACCCTAACAGTCAATCAAACCTAACTCTTTCGCATTCACTAGAGCTGTAGTCATTGTTTCAACCCTCATAATCACACTAATCGCTACATGGTCAATCCGCTCCTTACTATTTAAAGAATTGCTTTGTGTAGGCATCATAAGGTGTCCAAGGTCAAGTGTGCCTTCTGTCAAACCAAAAATTTTATTTAATTTTGCCACATGGAATTTACTTATTTTTATTTTTTCTAGATGGATCTCTACAACTAAAAATCAATTCACTTTGTTATTTGCTTAGTTCTCAGTTGCTCGCTTTCTTCTTGTTATTGATTAAAGGGACTTGACTCCCCAATATTGATGGCACAGTTCCCAACCCGCCCCTCCAGCCAAAAAACAAACAAATTATTATGTTTTAGCTCTGTAACATAGCAGCTATGACACTCAAGCAACTGAGACTTGCCAACCTTGTAAGCGACGATCTTAGGACATTTCTTGCCGATTCCAACTGGAGGAGACATTTGTCTTAACAACTGACAAACTTCCGTGTGCTTTATACGACCCCTGGAAAAAAAAAAACAAAAGAAATTTAAAAAAACGATAAACAATAAAATAAACAAAGGCACAAACAACAAGCACACCAACAAAAAGTACTAACAACAAATATCATGAAGACAAATATATATCGCAACTTACGTGGCTCCAGGATCAAACTCAGACCACACGCGGACAAACTCGTCGAGGTGGTGTGGGCCGAGAATGGATTCGTCACGTGTAAGGTACTCAAAGTTGTCCATGATAACAGCCACAAAAAGATTAAGGAGCTAAAAACAAAGTGAAAAGACATGTTAAACGCTTTAAAGCCAGTAATAAATTAAACTTTCATATGCAGCTTCGTTCATGCGAAGTGAACTAGACAATACTTTACTGTAGAACTAAGCATTGAGAAAAGTGTAATATTTTAAGCCTCGACGCTGATGTTGTTTGTTACGCTGTACAAGGTGTTCTCATTACCAAGCAGTGATACACAGTGCCGAGTACTGTTTTTTTTTTTTTTAGGATGTGCGACTCTAAATTGAATCCTCCTAACGACCATTAACATTTTCTCGTGTGAATAATAATTGTTTTGCCATGGCCCCGTTCACACATATTCGGACGTTTTTGAAAACGGATATCATTTCTCCGTTTTAGCTTTCTGTCCACACCTAAACGGCGTTTTCAGGCAACAAAAGTGCAGGTTTTCAAAAACGGTCCTTTGAGCAGAGATTTTTGAAACGATGGCCTAAAACGGAGACAAAATGTTTTCGAAAGTATCCGGATACGTGTGAATAGGGCATATGACTATAACCATTAAAAACATTTTATAGGAAGTGACATGTAGGGTATCTCTAAGTATTGCTGTACACATCGAGAAATTCCGTGTTATACATAGTGATGGAAAATGCTTTGCACACAATAGGCTGATTTAGCAACAGAACGGAACGTCAGTTCACAACGGCTTGCGCAAATCACACATCTGGCTTGACCAATGGCAGAGCGGCAAATTGGGAACCGGAAGTCGTGTTTAGTCCTTTCCGCGCGCTTTCCCGTCGCCAACTAACGTTCCCGTCCTGTTGCTAAATCAGCCTAATGTATTTTTGGAAGTTTTTGATGTAATAGCGTAAATTTGAATTCTTGTACTCACCAGGAAAGAACAAAAGAAGATGAAGGAAATGAAATAAACGTAAGTGAAAGGGCTGCCACATGTGCCCGGTGGATCCACCACCCTGGGATCACACACTGCGCCGCTTTGACACGCTAACATGATCAGTTGCCAGTTTTCACCCGTAGCAGACCTATGAATAGGCAAATGCGTTGCACGTTAGCGAAAAAAACACAGGAGGGTGGAGCGGTCACAGTTTGGCCTGACGATATCAAGACCCTTGTGAAAGGGCAAGGACCTCGATACCGTATTCTCTCAATTTTATTATCCCTAGTATATCCCGTATTTATTTAAAGCTGCAGTCTATTCGGGTCCACTAATTTGTGAGAAATGGTTGTTATTCATTTTTCTTGACAGCCGTGCAACTTGATGTTAGTTTCTTGTAACATAAAAAATGTCTGAGAGCTTTATTTACAAATTTGTGTTTAGACAGGGCGTTTTTTCGAAAAATTACTGTACGTTACGCGATAATGTAAAGACCTACATCAAGAAGCGTGACAAGTCAATACGAAAATACCAACGTGGCAACGCAAAAAAAAAACCTACACAAATATCGTGACAAAGTTAACGTTGCATTGTCAAGAAACGACGGTGCACGCCGGCAGGAAGCCTGACAAGACAACGTGACAACACGAACGAACAAAAGTGCATGTAGGCAGGGAGCATGACAAGAAAACGCCACAATATCAAGGACTTACAGCGCAGGCAGGCAGAAAGCGTGACAAGAAAACGTGACAACACGAAGGAACAAAAGTGCATGTAGGCAAGGAGCATGACAAGATAACGTCACAATATCAAGGACTTACAGTGCAGGCAGGCAGAAAGCGTGACAAGACAACGTGACAATATCAAGGAATTGCAGCAAGGAACATAATAAGTCACGACAATACTGGATTATATTTAAACTCTGCACCATATTTAGCACGGCTCCTGACACCGGGCACTCCCCCTTATCTGAAGGTCTAGATCCGCCACTGGTATTGGTAGTCATTTTATCATTAGAAAGAAAACTGAAAAATGGAGCTCTAGCCTGCGAGCAAGCTCTCCTATTTGGGCGAGTGAAGCGAGTCTCGCGAGAACGCGCGAGCGAGCAAGCGAGCGGCGAAGCTGCGAGGGGCCTCGGCCCCTCGCTCGCGCGTTCTCGCGAGGCTCACTTTGCTCGCCCAAATAGGAGAGCTTGCTCGCAGGCTAATCGAGCTCCTGTTAACAGTTTAGAACAAAAAGCTACTAGGGGTTTTGTTCTATAGTGATCAGATTATAATATTATAATTTTTCGTAAATTACTGTCATACCTGAAAAGCACTTGGAGAGCCTCGGGAAATGACTGGAAGTTATTTCGACCGTTAATCTGACTCCAGGGATCACCAAGGTCGCCGTTATCCGTGGTGATCTGACCAAACATCTACAGAATAATATTCAGAGGTTGAGTATACATCACTTTACGGCAGAGACAAGAAAAAGTCAAATAGTCATAAACTAGTATTTGTTGTCTACCTGACCTTCATGAAGAGTTCAGTTCACGTTAATTTGTCATGTTTGCACTTAAGTCTTTGACGCAAAACCTGTTTCGTAGAAAACCCTGTTACCATGGACGCAATGACGGTACGGCGATGCCACCATAACGGGTCAAAAACGGGTCACAGGCTGGTCAACTACGCTGTACTATGAGGGAGTGGTAGAGGCAGGGGGTGGGGGAGTAGGGGGAAGGGGATTAGTGGGAGAGGGACTTCAGCTACAGAGTGATGTAGAGGAGTGATAGGGGACAAAAATCACATCCAGGTATTAAAATCCAAAAGTTGAAATTTAAAGTGAGCAGCTATCCCACACCCCCAAAAATATACATGTATACACTTGCTCAGAGGCTTGGTCTTATTCCCAAAATCTTGAAATCGCGAATTTTAAATTAAGCCAATCCCCCTTCGATCATCCCTTCACTTGGATATCTTGAGTAACCCAGGGGTTCAATCGCCCCCTCTCATTCGGATGATCTTGAGTACCCCTGATCGATCATCCCCATTAATCGGATATCTGAAGTACCCCTGGGGTTCGATCATTTCTTCATTAGGAAATCTGGACTACCCCTGGGTGTAAGAGGCTGGTTCCACTTTTGCGTGATGCGTTGCGTGACCTCCTAACGTTGCATTACATACCTGCATACCAATGACAGCGTAAATGAAGAAAAGCAACCCGATCAGCATGCCTACATATGGTAACGCCTAAATAAAACACATAGGTTGACATCAGTGAATCGACAATTTTGAACGACACTTTTTCGACACTTCATCTTTTCCGTTCCTTGATTCAAATCTATTTAATAGCATTATTTTCCCAACGCGTTGTTACTCGGATCATCTTTCTCACTTTCCTCTTCCAGTGGTATCCAGTGGAAGTATGGGATTAAAGGTGTAATTGATATATTGGGATGTGGGAAATAAAAGCCTCGTTTTACCCAATACGCCATTTCCAGGTTGCTCCAAGCCTCTGTTTTGATGCGAGGCGAAGTTCGAAGCCACTCATTTGAAAATGATTTTGTATTCTCATGCCAAATCTCATTTTCACATAAAAAGGTTTCGCACCAAGCCTCGTTTTGAAAGTGAGAGTTTTTGGAACTCTGAAATGACCTATTCCGTTCAGTGATCGCTATCAAGACACGATCTCTTTACCGTAGACTCCGTACTGGGCGGAAGTTTACAATTTTTCGTCAAATAGTGTTTACTTCAGCGACCAAAAAAAATCAGCACCCCTCCCCACCCGGGAAAGGTTGGTTCCTTTGTTGTTTCTCACAGGCAACTTGGGCAGCGGCACAACATTGTTTAGGGGAAGTAAGAAAGGGAAGCTTGTTGTTTCCTCTTTGAAGAAAACAGTATTGACAAAACGTGGGAAATGCAGTTGAAGACAAAGTGTCTCTACTATTTTTGCTGTTGCCAATGCACAGCTTTACTGCACATTCTTCCAAGTGGGTGATGTTGCTAGTAACCATTTATACACTTTGTTAAAGAAAGACAGCCTGGAGCAAAGTTGCTGGTCTAAAAACAATGGCTATGCCTCTTTCGATTGGTTCGTCAGTGTGACGGGTGCCTGGTATGGGGGCGCATGGCCGGGTTGCTGGGATTTGCCATGGGGGCAGATTCTATCTAAGGGCTGGGTGGCCATAGTTAAGTCCCCTAGATACCACAGGCACCCACCTCCCATTTAGCGCGGTAACCGGTTAACAATGAAAAACGGTGAACTGTGAAGAGCCTTTCATAATAAACACAAACGGTAAAGGTAAGTGTAACATTTACCTTGAAGGACTGCAGAAATGTCCAAAGCAAGATTCTAATAGTGTAACCTTGCCTCAGCAGCTTAATCAACCGCGCCGCCCTGAACAAACGGAAGAGACTGGGATCAAAGGGCATCTGTTGATTATCCTATTGAAAGAATAGATATCGAAAACGTAAGTTCGTTACTTCAAAGGGGCTATGCCACGAGTCTTTAGTACTACTTCAAAACCTTAAGAACAAAATTGAGTCAACAAAAACCCTGAAATAATGGTTCAGTTTTATTAAAATTACTCCACCGCTATACATAAACTATACATGTTTATCTCTGGCTTTCGATGGCCATGGTGGAAGCAAATTACATCTTGAAAATATTGGGCCAACCATTTCAAGTTAAGCACCTGTATTGTCGAAAATTGACTATAAACCAATCATGCTTTGTTTTCCCTTTGTTAGAATCATTTCATATCTTCCTTTTTCATTTCCAAGTATGACTGAGATAACATGACTAAGAATATTTGGTTATAACTCCAGTTCAGCTTTGAGCACAACATATGGCACTCAGATAAACAAAGCCCCCTTAATGTAAAGGGTATAATGCAAGCCTTGAAAGAAAAAAGTCGTCGACACAACTTCCACGCTTTTTTCTACCATTTTTACGTTTATTCTCGGGATAAAAAAGTAAAGATAAACACAAATCAATCACCCTGCCGCGGCAGTGTTAGCTCAGTCGGTAGAGCGTGTTGACTGCACAGCGGGAGGTCGCGGGTTCGATTCCTGGGGCCGGACCAATACTCAGGGTCTTAAAATAACCGAGAAATGAAGGTACTCCCTTTGCACTGCAACAGGCTAGACCTTCGCGTGGCTCGAATGACCACGTAAAATGGCGGTCCCGTCTCCAGTTGGAGACGTAAAATATAGTGTCCCCAATTAGTACTTTCGTGCTAAATACATTGACAATCAAATAAAAAGTGCAAAGTGCAAGTGCATAAAATCAGTGTTTTGCTTACCAAGCTTACGGTGAGGGCGAAGTCCAACAAGCTTCCCAACACAATGATAAAATCGAACACGTTCCAGCCGTCTCGAAAGTAATTCTTTAAAGAGATAATTAAGCACAAAAGAATATCAGGATGGCAATGCTTCATTTTCCATGACTAATAAACTCACTAAAAGCCTTGTGATGTTACAGGTTTGCCACAAGGGCTTTTGATATAACGCGCTTACACCCACACTAAACATACAAAAGGATTTATAGCCTGCTAATCTTTTGTTTCATTTCTTCTTTTGTCCCGGTGAAGGTAACAAGTTATTGAGCCGACCACAGCCAGAGGTTTTAGCGGTCCTTGTTAAGAGTACTCATTTTGGTTAAGAGCTGCCATTCTTTTCCGCACAGACATCCAAAAGCAAGAAAGCCAGTAAAAAAGGTCACCATTCTCAGCGTTAGTGCAAGCAAAAAAAAACCCTTCGCGCAAAAGCCTGAATCTAGAGAAAAAAAAGTCTTGAAAAGAAACTTTTGTCTTCACCTTTCTACCTAAATTCACACTTTTTTTAAAACAGGAATTTCATGTTTTCTTAATTGGTTTATATAAGCAACCGGAAATCCCAGAGTAATCAGGCTTGAGTTTTTCGCTCATGCGCGGTGCATTTTGCAGCGCTGTTAGCAAAAGGAGAACGTCTTACCAATCTAAAAGCAAATAGCTTCAATATGGCTTCCCCGGTAAACATGAAAGTGAATATTGTGTTGAAAATGTTAAGGGCCTTACGATACGGGTCGGGCTCCCTGTAAACCTGAAAAAAAATGAACGGTCTTAGTTATTAGATTGAATGTGAGTACTGACTACAGTCGAATGTCTACTGACGACCACCTCTCCACACTGAATAGACATATTCGAGAGTTTTTAAAGATGTCAAGTCTGCGAGGGCAAAGAGAACGTCTAAAAAGCAGCAGGTTTTGGCTGTGTTCACACGACAACAGCCGATTTTTCGACCGGCTGTGTAATTTGCCCGGACACTGCGTTTAAACGGATCTGTTCAATAATTTTGCTCTGTTCACACGGATCTGACGAACTAGGCTGAATTTCAACTTTTCTCAGTTGTTTTCCTATCTACCCATCTACCCGTCTTCCATCTTAGTAACCACGCATCCATGCAACCACGCCTTAACAGTCTTTTAACGGTCATAGTGTTCACAGGTTCTAGCGCAAGCTCTTTACACGAAACCTGAATTCCACTGTGCTGTTGTAACAAAAAATGCCAGAATAATTACATTCCGGCGAAGCTCATGGTTTTGGGAAATCGTCCGTTGCACGCCCAGTTCGTGCAAGGAACAAAAGGTTACGTAAAAGTCTCGTTTACACGAAGCTCGAGCCGAACGACAATTTTAAGTTCCATGCAAACGGACCCAACGTTGTTGACCAACAACCCCCAAATATTGTTGGATGTTACATGTTGCGTCCGTTTGTACACCCTGTTGCATGTTGTTGGGAGTTCTTACGCAAAGTTTGAAACTGGTGAAACTTTTTGCAAACGGACGCAACATTGTAGGCCAACAACTCCCAACATTATTGGCCTAAAACTTATTGTGGTATTTTTTTCTCGGTGGCCTTTAGTGAGGTTTCATTGCAACAACCCATGCTAAGATCCGCTGAAATTCCTATTAAGTCGTGAACCGCACAAGAACACTGCACAAAGAGCACGGTCCCGAAGAGAGTAAGAAGTTAAGTTTTGTCAAGGGTAGAGATCATTGACAGAGATCCTCTATTAGAATTAGAAAGCACGTACCTTCATCATAAGAATAAGAGTGTTCAGAGCAATCAGCAACATGATAAAATACTCAAAAGGCCTGGAATCGACAATTCTCCATATACGGTACTGCCAGGTGTTAGGGTCCTCTGGCATAAATCTCTCAGAGGGTTTAGCAACGATGGCGAAATGAAGACAATCTCTCTAACAAAAATATGTTACAAATCAGCGTAAGTTTTCACTCCTATTGACACAAGTTCCTTGAGGTATCTTACATGGGAAAAACACTAACAATTGAGTATTTTAGTGAATACGTTTTCCTACAGTGGACAGGGACTTGACGTTGTACAGGCCAGTTATGTCGATACGTTCTAATGACAAGCAAATAATGTTCCACCTATTTCAGGAGTGTATAAGCATGTGTCTTAAAAGATATTTTGTGAGTTTTGCTTGTGTGACCAGAGTAAGCAATGATTAAATGTTTTGCACCCTCTCATTCCATTCAACGAAGGACCCTCTAAGGACCTACGCAAGGCTAACAGATGCCGTGATACCTTTATTAACAAATGCGCAAGTACGTTTTATAATTCAGTTAGTCTAAGATTTTATGTTTGTAGATGTAGGATTTGATATAGCAATTATTTTTGATATGGCTCGTATGTAAACATTTTGTAATTCTGTTTCATAACCCTTTTTTACAAATTGTATAGCAGTTCAGTCGATACCGTTAGTGAGGTATTTCAAAAAAGCATTCTATTCTATTTTTCTGTTCTTAAAAGAGAAACTACGGACTAACAACTGACTGCAAGACTAGGTCTAAAAAGATATAATATTTTGTTCCGGCGACTGCCCCCACTGGTTTGTAGTCATGGATTTACCGAGCTCTTTAAGCTCGGCAGTGAGGGCCCAGTTCAGATCTAAACAAAACCATTGAGTTGTTTTGCACAAGAAATGTGTGCTGCACAGAGGTCACATATTCATACATGTCAGGCATCTATCTCACCTGGTTTCTGTCCAGTTCGCAGTCACCTTGGTCCTTCTCGCCCTGTTCTTGAAAGGTTAAGATAATAAGAGCTACAAAGATGTTGATGAAGAAAAACGAGAAAACCACAACAAAGAAAATATAGAAGAGTGCGATTTCAATCTTGTTATCAACGATTTGTCCTCGGTCGATCTCGGTTGTGTCGATGGATCTTTGCATGAGTCTATAAAGAGAATAAACACAAGGAGCGGATAATCAACGCCTTTTTTCTAAAAAGGGACATAAGGGTGGGACAGGTAGATTCGTGGGAAACTGTGGACAAGAGCTACAAATGGCCGCATGTACTATGAATGAAGCCACCTCCACTACTACTAATAGGGAGCTTAGTAAGCAACGGCGATGGAAACGAGAGTGGCGAAAAAGCAATAGCCTTAGATTAGCAAAACAACAACTCTGCACGTGCAGCAGGCTTTCTATCACACATCTTTGCCGTTGTTGCACAACGTGAAACTTACCAGTTTCGCGTTTTATGGAAGACGCCAACACTAAGAGGCTTTCGCTGACGTTGCCGTTAAGGTTGCTTTAGCTCCCTAATACCTCCAGCGCCATCACCCTCAGCACCTCTTACAACGCTGTCATCATTCAGGGGCACCCAACGAGAATATAGTTCAAGACCACTTAAACATAGCATTGTTAATCTATTTTTTAGTATTTAAACTGTAAATATAGGACTATTTTTATCCCCTAAGAATTTTTCATCTGTTCGGATTTCCTAGCTAAAAGTCTAGTGATCCGAAAATTATAGGGATAAAAGCTTACCTTAATCGAAAATTTCAGCCAGAAAAAAGGCTCTCGAAAATTCTCGGTGACCTTTTTAGGGTAAAAATCCGTTGAAAATGGGCAATTATACCATTGTTTAGAAGTTCGAAAATCCTAGCAGAGGCAGGTAAGCAAGAAATTTTACAACAAATGTTCCGAGAATTCTACGAATTGACGTTGGGTGCCCCTGATCATTGTGAACATAATAATGACACCAATACAGTCATCACCAACAGCACAATCATCATCACCACCATCGCCTCTATCACCACCAGCACTGTCATTCAAACCATGACCACCAATGCCATCACCATCATCTAAATCATAATCACCATCAGTATCACCAACATCATTGGCAGCATCACAACAAAATTACCAACGTCAAACAAATCATAATCACCAACATCATCACCACAATCATCTACATCAATGTCACCATCACTACTACCGATATTATCATCATCAGCCGCATCACCAATATCACTACCATCATTGGCATCATCACCGAAATAATGATCACCACCAATATCATCCGAAGAGAGGTACGTTTTGGCAGCTAACTTACGTGGTTAGGCCGTGGGAAAGAAGAAAACTTGAGAACATAAAGGCCTTTAGGGTCGCTCAGACGAGAGTGTTGACAACTACTAAATCAAGGATAACTACATTTGAGTTGTGACTTACGCAGGCCATCCCTCTCCGGTTGAAGACGTAAAAAGTGCCAACATTGCATTAAATACATTGTCGAAATTGTAGTCCTCCCCGGACCATTCTCGTTCCTTACGCTGCAAAACAAAAATTCACGTCGAGTAGTAAAGATGATACCACGTAACTTTTCAGGTTCATCTGTGTATAACTTGAGAAAACAACTGACATTTCGCCACACTTCGGCTGGTTTCCCCGTGAAATAACGCCTGAGTAACGAGCACAGAAATTCGATACTGATGACAAACGTGTAACTATCCAGTTTCCGATTGATCGTACCGCGAGGGAGAGTTACTTCAACAAATCTGCAGGCTAATAAATGCACCACATTAAGTTTTTGTGATAGGCAAAGGAATTATCTTCGCGTGACAACAACACTAGTAGCGCGACACGTCACGCAACATTAGTTTACCAGCAGCAAAAGAAAGGGTTGGGGGGTAACTTGGCACAATTCTCTACAGGAATGCAAGGATGAGAGAATAGCCAGTGCAGGTTGCGAGAAAAAGAAAATAAAAAGTAACAGAAACTCACTTTCACTTCGCTCATGCCACTACTGTAATCAAGGTAATATCCTCTACAAAGAAAATGATGAAGAAGCACTGTTATTCGCATACAGCAAATGCAAAATTACTTGCTCCCTAAAGGATAGCGAGATGGGGTTCGTCAAAGAATTTAAATATGGTCCAAGACAGTTCAATCGCTCTGACGTTGCTCTATTTAACACTAAACTGCACGCAGCCGCACTCGGACTTGGAAACTTCAGTACCATAACACCAAACCTGTCTTAAGGTGATGTTACACGAGTCGATTAGCAACGACGATTTTTAGCACAACACAGCGCTGGAATGTCGAAACAATGTTGCAACGCTGTGTTGCGCTGAAAATCGTCGTTGCTAATCGACTCGTGTAATATCACCTTTACAACCTAGAAAGCGAGTGAAATTACTGAGTATGTGTTGGTCGCTTAGCAATAACAGCATTCAAATGGGTTGCCTTTAACCAACAGCATCCCCCACTCAAACGTCACACGCGAGTAAAAACCTCTGGGACCCAGGGTAGGTAAGATGTGAAATAGGGAAACTTACTGGCACTCCTCTTCTGTCATCTTGGAGGCATCATTACAACTGAAGAACTTTCCCTACAAAAATATAATACTTAATACATGATCGTTTTGTGAGAACTTGCGGCAACATTCATCTAAAATTATGGCCAGTAGGAGAAAAAATTGTCAAGGCACGGTCAGAAACAAACAAACAAACAAGCAATAACAAAGAAAAAAGATGCAGAAACGTAAAAAAGAAAGCTTCTCGCAGCTTGCAGAGGAAACAAATTCTAACAGGCCTCGCGAAAGACTACACGGTAAATAAGTAAGAAAATAATTAAAATAAAATACCGTTAATGATCTAATAGATACCCGGGGCGTTAATTTAATTTAAGGGTTCCAAAAGGGGGCGATAAAACAGAAAAGAAGGCGGTTCAAAGAGAGAGGCTTATATTTTCATTTTTGTAACAATCTCTACAAAACTAATAAGCTATCGGCAAAAATATCAAGAGAGTTTATAAAAAGTGGAATATGCAGCCCATCAATTGATACCCCTAGGCCGTCTAGAGATCAATATAGTTTTTTTCAAATCTCAACCGTTGATACCAGAATCCTCATTCAGTCACTGTGTTGTGATAGTTGATCAATCTTTATAGTGAACTTGACATTGAACAAGATGTAATGCTCAAACGCTTGTCAATCATTAAGAAATATATTGAATGATTTTGCTCCTTGTCGCTAATTCCAAGTATTTTCGAGCACGTGTCATATATGGGGGGGGGGGGGGGGGGGGTGTCTATTAGACAGGGAGCGTTTGTTAGAGAGAGGCTTCTAACACAAACTTAACATTGTAGAGGAGGCGTCTTCGAGACAAGAGGCGTATCTTAAGATACACCGTTTCCTAGACTTGCAACAAGTCGACCTCTCATAAGTTCTAAAAGTGAGTGAAACGAGCTTCAATGCATGAGGTCGCGCAGCGACCGAGCGAGCGACGGAGTCTAAAGGTCGACTTGTTTCGCCTGAGCGGATTTGAATCACATTATAAATTCACGCGGGAAAAAACTGATTGACATATGCTGTGTCGGGAGCAGCGTGAAATATCACTCACTGTCCTATGGGTTAATTGTCATGACGTCACGGGTAGAATTTTTGACCGGTCAATTTCGCGCCAGACAGGCATGAAAAGTCCTTTAATGGCATAACCAACCAGGGAAAAAATAAAGGACTTTTAGAAAGCCTAACCGTTTCCGTGTATACACAGGAAAAAATAACGGATTCCCATTTTTGGATATTTTTGGATATTTAAAGAATACCCACAAAAATCCCAAATTTGGTAGAGTGAGACAAGTCCCAATCTGGGAACTTGGTTAACTGGTTGGGACGTTTCCAAATTTGGGATTTTTATGGGTATTCTTTAAATACCCAAAAATATTCAAAAATGGGAATCCGTTATTTTTTCCTGTGGTACTTGGAGCGGGTAGAGGAACATATTTCTTCAACTTCAAATGCTGTGAAGGAATCATCGCCCTTCTTGGGGTAACCTACTGATATCTCTACGAGTAATTTACCCATACTAGTACTCCGTCCGTAGATAGCGCGTCATAAGGTTTGGACGATTGAAGAGCGAAGAAAACCATGTATGGGGACAAGGATTTTCGCACTAGTCGCTCAATTGCGCAATCTCGTCCCATGTAAGGTAATCCAAGACAGCATTGGATTTCCGGATTCCAGGTACTGGATTGTGGATTCTTTGTCACTGGAACTTGGATTCGGGGATTCCGAATTCCTAGAACTGAAATTCGGATTCCAAAGTCCAGAATTCCGGATTCCACAAGCAAAAATGTCCCGGATTCCAAAATCTGGAATAGCTTACATGGGACGTGTAGTCGTGTATGAACGACTTCTGGCAATTGAAAAGATGTAATTGAGCGTGTATTCACTTACTTGGAAAAGCTGCACTCCAATAACAGAGAAGATGAACAAAAATAGAATAGTGATGATGAGAATGTTGAGAACGTTTTTCAGGGAGTACACCATGCACTGGAACACAGCCTAACAAGCAAACATGTCATCGTTAGCTAACACTAAAGTACACATACGAATAAAACTTAGCTCACCGCTGCCACTTTTAAGCTACGGTCAAACGGGCACCGGACGAATTTTTGACAGGTTGAAAATTCGTGCATTTAGGTTTTCCGTTCACACGGAAGCACTTTAATCGTACAAAGATTTAGACGCCCAGCCGTTCAAAGTTCCGTGTGAACAGATCGAAAATATTGAACAGTCCCGTGTGAACGAAGCACCCGGTCAAATTTTTAAGCCGGTCGAAAATTCGTCCGATACCGTGTGAAAGTTGCCTCAGTAACCCACGCAGCCGTTATTTGTGTTTTCACGTGTGGGGAGGAGCATTGCGTGACGACACACGGGACAGCGCGCCTGCAAGGGAGACTAGCACTAGACCATTACAGCCTTGATAACTAAAAAGATACTCATTAATCTATTTCAATAAATTAAGTGTGCAGACGAGTTTACCCCGTAGAAATAATTTTAAGCGCCTACAAACAGTGACCAAAGGCATTATTGCTTTTGGTCACCGTTTCTTATAAATTGATAAATAAATACCACGATAAATAAATAAATAAGGAAAATTGACAAAAACAATAAACTAACAAAGAAGCCTAAAATAAGCTGGTGCACTCTTGTCTTGCAACAGATTACGATTTTGAAGATAGCAGGCTTTTTAATTTCACACCATTGAAAAAAAAAATCAATGTTAACAACAGTTTAACAGCGAAGGAATTAATTTGTTCACAAACGAGACTCAGGATGAATTTTCAGTATGTAATACATGAAGCATAAGGGACATGGACGGCTTATTCAACCTGCGATCAACAATTCTTTTTAGCGAAAGAAAAGAACGCTTGATCAGAGAAAAGAACTTATTGCTCAATAAGTAACTGTGATAAGAGTACCTTCAATTTCTTAGCCTTGTTAATGGCTTTAAGTGGACGAAGAACCCGGAGAACACGCAAAACTTTGACTGTCTTCTTAGAACCTGGGTCAACCGTGCCTTCCTGATTCCTGTGTATCACAAAAGCAGTAGAAAGATGTATAACACGAAAAATTATGTCAAACCAAATAATTTAAAGCCAAGTTTTTAATGGTACTTATTGTTCATTTATTGATTCAATACCACTGATTTAGGACATGTTCACGCTAGTTTCCCAGAAACCCGAATTGCTCCCCATATTTCTCACCCCATAACAAGGGAGGCTATGGCACAGCACACGACCAAGGCATCAATACAATTCCAAGCATCTCTGAAGTAGGATCCAGGGTGAAGTATGGCACCATAGTCGATCAGCTAAAACATTTAAAACCAGGAATATACAATGTTTGTAAGCGTCTCCTTGTGAATGTTATGAAGAATATGTGTAGGTGTTTTTGGAAAGGCGTAATCAAGGGAGGTCTAGATTGCTAGACCAGACGGACCAACCTGGAGGAGACTTATCAAAACTGTGCTGAAACTCATGAAAATTGTCGAAAATTTACCAGAAAGTTACAAGAGTACTCTGACTGCGTTCAGACATCGCCGAAAACTTTCAGAGACATCCAAGTCTTCCGACGAAAAACTTAAGGAGTTTCAGTTATCAAGTCCTGAGACAGTTAATGACCGCAATCATTTTTAAAATACAAATTATAAATAATTACCTTGACAACGACTTCCATAGCAAATACTGTAGTGAAGACATAATCAAAGTAAGTCAGCACCTACAAACACCGAAAGAAATTCAAAATATTAAAGAAAAAGGAGGTACAAAAATCCTTGACAAACCCTGTGTTACAATCGATACTGCAAGAAAACGGATTTATGTTATAAATTTTGGCTCAAATTTCTTCCCAAACTCAAGAACTGAGAAATCAACTTCTATCCCGCCCCCTTGAGATGAGCAGCCCTACGTAGTGATGACTTGGCCCCTGTTGTTCAAACGTTGGATTGCGCTATTCACCACAAAAATCTATCCCGTGGATAACGTAATTAGTTTCCCTAATACTTATCCGCTGCATAGTGATTTATCCGGTGAATAGAGCTATCCACCGGATAAAAATCTATCAGTGGATAACGTAACTGGTTTCCCTAATACTTATCCGCTGCATAGTGATTTATTCGGTAGATAGCGCTATCCTACGTTTGAACAACCGGTGTTTGGTCTGTAGATGTCTGGCAATCAAAAGGAAAGACAGTGAAAGGAAGTTCAAGTCTGAGAATGAAACACAAAAATGTGGCTGTTTTAAAGAACGCTGGTGTTTAAGGCGTTTTTTTTCTTTGGAATCTGTTGTTTGAGTGCAGTAGTAAGTGAGATTATCCTATGACCCGTACGTACCCTCGCGCAGTTTCGTATGGGGGCCGTACGTGTCAAGTGATATGGCCAAAAAAACGCGTACGACCCTGCTAGAAAAGCGTGCTGGTCGATGCGGGTTCGCTTTGTCAGAAAAATTCAAAAACACAACCATCATGTGATAAAATACTTATTGACTGAGTTTGTTCGGGCCGTACGGGATAATATTTGACTTTCGGTCAGGTCGCAGCCAAATATTTTCCAGTCCGGCTCTCCCACTCAGTCAATAAATACATAATAACGGCCCTGCTCTCTTTTTTGTCCCAAGATAATACGCAGGCACGGTTGACTCTACCACAACTTTACCGTATTTCTTTGAGAATTTTCATCCACCGGATCTTCAAGAGCCAACAGTACACTACTAATAAGAATAATGACCAGAATGGTGTTGTCAAAATGACGTAAATTGACCAGCCAGTGACAAGCTTTCCGCAGCCTGAAAGAGAGCGAGAGAGAGAAAAAAAACAATTTGCTAAGTGACTAATCATTTGACCTCGGGGTTGATTGAGGTAAAAAAAAAAAAAGCACTCTAAAATACATGGAGGGGTCCATCTAGGATGAATAAAAAGTTAAAGTTTGTAAATACAACTTGAGCTTTTGCCTGTCTCAGATCTACAGTCAAGGTAGAATGGTGTAGGCAGCACCACTCACGAGCGTTCAAGTCTAAATTTTCCGACCACTCTTTTAGATTGCAAAAGTCAATGATACTCTATTCTAGACCAAATATTCTCATTTCTATACCCTATTCTAGATTTCAACGTCCTGAAATCATGGATTTAAAGTCAGTTAAGTTCAATATCTTTTAACAAAACTTACGGGTTTCCAGGTGGAAAGAGAAATAAAGACCACGTGTCAATGATAGGTACTTGGTCCCCTGGTTTTTGATGAGGAACCATCCGACCAGGATTCCTGAGGTTAGCGATAAATGATGGTCTGCCTGTGACACAAAAAACAGCAACCCATCACTGAGACAGACACATTTTTAATTTAACTTTTCCGAGACCGCGTTTATGTGAAGAAAACTTGCCCCTTGTAGAGGAGTCAATCGCGAACACCGCTACCCTGGGCGGACCAATCTTTCCTACATTTCCTTACAAAACTTGGAGAACCGTTCACATGAGAACCAAAACGTTGGCTCAGATAGAAGGGTGACCCGCCGGGTAACCCTTTTGCAGGGTTCTATCTAGGATTTATCGTTTGGGGGAGAAGCGGGATCCGGGGGCATACGCGCCCCCGGAAATTTTTTGAAAAGAATATGCGCTGAGATGCAATCTGGTGCATTTTGAGAAAAAAATTTGAGAAATGTTACGGTGGTATTTCATTTTATTTTTCAGTCGTGATCATGTTCCTTGTAATATAGTATCCTTAGACAGGGAATACTTACTTCATGGGCACTGACCTCGTCATGTCTGTATGATTTTTCCAATGCAGTTACTTATATGCTGAAATGATAACAATATATTTTGGGGGGAAGCTGGGCATTCTGGGGGGGGGGGGTAGCTTTTACCCCTCAAATACCCTAGATAGAACCCTGTTTTGTGATGGTAGGGTCACTCTACTAGCGCGTGGCTTGGGTAACTAGGTATAAATCGCGTTCCCGTCTCCAGATAGAGAGATAAAAACAGCGTTCTCAGATATTAATTTCGTGCAAAAGACACTGGCACTAAAATAAAGTAGAACATACCATCGTCTAATTCTGACTCAAATTCATCTTCAGTTGGACCAAAATCATTACCCTAGGCATAAGCAAAAAAAGAGTGTGAATAAGAACATCATTCTACGAAATCATAGTTGAAAGATCATACCGTAATAACGCTCAGAAGAAACGACGTCACGACTTTAGGTATTGCTTCAAAATCCCCCAAACACATTCGAACCAAAGAGAACTCCTGCCTCCCCCACGAAAAAAAATATTTACCCCCCCAAAAGATTTAGATTAAGACTGCTCTGTTACTCCCCGAGTTCAAGTCATCGTTGTCGTCATCATCATCTTTCAAAAACAAACATACTCACCTTCCTAGCATCTCCGTTTCGCCTGCAAAAACCAAAACAATTTAGGTTATCATGATGACTGTCGCAATAATTGCTGCTAACATCATTTAGATAGGGGTAGAGGGTAAGGGTGATTCTTGTCATCCTTTAAGGCTGGTCTTGGTTTCGTTAATTAATATTACTGTTTTGCCAGCCAGTTGAGTTGCAGAACCCAAACACGAAACTCGAAAACTGTCAGTGAAGCGAAGAAAACCGAGTCCAAGCACATCTCTGTAATAAACCCATGAACTCGCACAAAAATTCAAGAAAACTCAATTGTTAGGCTCGTTAAGTGTTCTCATTTTAAGACTTTTACATTCTGAGAAAATGGTCATTTTACGTCATCACTTTCCGGAGGAATGTAACAACAACAAAAAAAAAACAAGTAAAAATCTTAACATACTTAAACAACGCTTGTTTCTCTTCAAGGCATAAACCTTTTGTTTCGTGGAGTCCTGGTGACTTTAGAAGTGAAAGGCGTGTTACATTTTTTACTTAGACATCCTTACCCTGGGCTGGAAGTAGGAGAGCTACGATCTCGGTACTGATCTACAATTTCTCTTCTTCTTTCTTCTCTCGCATTCTCCTCAGCCTCTTCATCTTGACTCAGTTGCTGTGCATTAGCCAAGTTGTCAACGGCAATGGCCAAGAATACATTGAGAAGAGTATCTGTTTGCTTGTTAAGGGATCAAATTTTTCCTTCATTTTTCAAGATTAGAAACCAATCATTATCCTTCAAGGCCTAACATCAACTTCACTATGCTCTCCACATTATATTGTTTTAAAATGGTCACGGGAAGAAATCGATTTCCTAAGAAATTATCAATTTATTTTTTCTATGATGATTACCGTATTTTCTCGAATTAGCGCCGCCCCAATTAAGCACCGCATTTAAGACAAAAAAAATGTTAATAAGCGCCTCGGCCCCGATATAATCAAAATCAAAAGACGTTAATTCTGTTTGTTTTATACGGAAAATAATGATAACGTAGTTAAAACAATGCTTTGTCGCGTGCAACTTTCAAATAAATGCCTCACACGAATAAGCGCCGCATTTGAGACGTGGAAAATTTAATAAGTACCGCGGCGCTTATTCGAGTAGATAGAGTAGTAATTAAATTATTAATAATCACAGGAGTTCAGGCTCTACGAAATACGTTCTACCCAGAATACAAGTAGTAATTAAATTATATTCATTTTCATGACCTTTCTTTCCACTTCATTAAACAGCGATAAAATGAGGAGAAATTCGACACTGAACATTGTTAAGTTATGGGTTAGACAGAATTACCAGCGCATCCCCCCGCCCCTAACCCCACCCTCACCCCTACAGTCTCTAACCACCCTTCCCCTCAACACTACAGATTGAAAAAAACCTGGTAGAACTTTTTCAGTGCATCTCTTTTGAAAAATATGCAACATTGATTGGACTGAACGAATGCGTTCTCTAATAGTTATGTTACTAAAGCGGGCAAAACAAAATAGCCTGCGTAGCTGGCGGGATTATCATGTGCGGGCAAGAGATCTCTTTGCGCGGGGTACTTACTTGGCAGCGGACCCGCGAGGGAAAACTTGACTCGCTTCCAAACTTTTCACGGCTCCGCCACCAAAATACAACAGCACTCGCCCACTAATTTTGCCAGCTGTACAGGCTAAACAAAAAGATTCCAATTTTCACTTCTTAGATATCATTGCAACTTGGACGCCGTCAAAAACATCACTTAAAAGCCTCTACTTTGAAGCTCATTAAATTGTAACACTATCATTTAAGTGGATACAATTTCCTAAAACCACCAGTAGAACAAAATACAATGACCACAATATGTTAATCTGGTTTTCTTCAAAGCCTTGAGACGAGACACCATCATACATCACCGCATTCCAGTCCTCGCCTGTCAAGATCTATGAGTTAAAAAAAAAATCCCATTAGATCAAAAGAGCTCACTTAACTGTACGACGAAACTTCAGTTGAATAACCGGGCTGTAGAATAATGTTCAATAAGATTAGTTCTGTCATCCGGTAGACTTTGAGCTCAATGAGATAAAAGACGCAAATGAAAATACGTTCCTAAAGTTCACCGTTTCGCACACTGCTGACCCATCTAGTGCTCGTACATTGCTAAGATTTTATGATAATTTCTGACCCGTCCTCCTTCCCATCACCCCTCTCGCTCCCTTCAGTCAGGCTTCTTGCGTTCCATCCTCTGCGTGCAATCCAAGCAGAGACGAAGGATGACGAGTCAGTGGTAATTTTCTGTCTGTGTTTCTTATTGGCAGCCAAGTCTCTAGACGATCTCTCTTGCCCAGATGTCCACGCGAAGTCTGGGAAAGGGTGTCGGGGACAGCACGGCTCATGTTAGAGTCCAGAAGTGACGGATCCGGGAACACCTAGGGAATAATCTGTCTTGGTGGGTCATTTTCAGGGTCAAGGATAAGCACAGTGGGTAAGTGCGCTTCCTTCTGTGCGAGAGGTTCCAAGTTCGATTCCCAAGACCTACTGTGACCTCAAATCCTTGTTTTGACTTCTTTCCTCTCCGTGTGGCATTAAGTAGCTTTAGATACCCGTATGCACTGATGGAGAGGGGGAGAAAACGAGCGCACTGTCGGCCTCAGGTTTGTCAGTTTAAGCACTGTTAAGAGTTACCGACAAAAAGTAAGGAAATTACCTTCCCTCTTTGATTATCACCCAACCTAGCGTTTTGGACTGATTTGTAGAAAACTATTAGAGTAACATAATTGCTGGAGTTCCCAACAAAAAGTCAGTTTTTTCCCCTATTTTACTCACCTGAAAAACTGCAAGTGCAGCATTCCCGAAATTGTCAAAGTTTGTTCTGGGATTTCCGTCTCGATCAGGAAGATCTCTAAATCTATAAGACAGAAATGAAATCAAACAAGGTTTAAAACCCTATATGCAACTTTTTATTATACATTAGCAATAGGGTAACCTTAACATGAGATGAAATGTTCAGTTTTACAGCTAATGGGGGACACTGAGACTATATTCATTATCACTATTCACCAAATCAGTGGATAGCGATTCTCGCGAGTTCTGATTGGCTCCTGTAACTCGGAACATCCTTGGATATTCACTGTTTTGGGACGGGATTCAAAATGGCTTCTCGTTTTGCGACAGTTTCGAAAGATGACATTTTAGGGGTAAATGAAGCAGCTGCTCCAGCAAATACCAAGAAAGAGACAAAATTTGGCTTGTCGGCGTTTACTGATCTGTAGAAAAAAACATTTCTGTCTGAACTTGCAACAACATCATAAAAAAAGATCCTTGGAACACCGTCAATTGCAACGTAATCATCTTAAATCACAGAAAATAACTGTTACAGTCAAGTCAATCTAAAATATTTTTAAAGAAAGCGTTTGTATCTGACTTCGGGGGATAAATAACTTTTATAAAAAAATTTAAAAAAAAGGACTATATTTTCTTTTTATCTTTTAACACAAAAAATTATTAAAACCTATAACAAAGCCATCTTGAATAATTGTGACGGGTAATGGTTGTCCAGATATTGTTATTAAACAAAAGCTCTTTTGTGTCAGAACAATAAAGAGCAACCGTAACACGTCACAATTATTCAAGATGGCTTTGTGTCAGAACAATAGAGCAACCGTAACACGTCACAATTATTCAAGATGGCGGCGCCCGCGAAATTTGAAAGTGAAAATAAGCGATTTTAAAATTCACTTTTCCTGATATAAACACTATTTTTAAGACAAATTTCGAACAAATTTGTTTATCAACATAATTTTACTCGATTTAAACTTATTCTGTAGTAAGAGTGGAGGTTCCCTTTAACATTTCTCTTGAATGAATTAAGACTTTCGGCAGTACTTAGTTTTCTGGTTAGCTTGGACTAAATGAGAGTTATAGAACGTCTACCATATCAAACAGTTTCGTATTTTGGTAGTTCAAAATCATTTACATTCCTTTTTGCTGGGTTATGATAACACCTCTGAGAAAGAAGAAAATGGAAATTCTGGAAGATAGATAACTGACTTACTCTGCTCCAAAGACTTGCATTCCAAGCAAAGCAAAAATTACGATAAAGAGGAAAAGCAGAAACAGTAAGCTAAGAATGGAGCGAACACTGCTCAATAACGACGTCACCAAGTTGCGCAGTGATGACCAATATCTGAGAAGAAAATCATGATAATTATGTTATGAAAAAACCTAAGTGTGTATAAAGAAACAAAAATTTACGCTTCTTGAAAACAGAAGTCGTACAAAAGCTACAAACGTTACGGAAAAGACTTCTAGTCCCATTTTAAAACACACAGAAGAGGACTTTCGTATTTCCTAGCAGCCCTGAAAATATATCCAATGAGATTCACTTTAACATGGTGGGTAACCTTTTCATGTGTGAAGATAACATGTTAATTTTACACGTGAAATATAATATTTTCGCGCAACATCTCACCTAGTATTTCATCGGTGGATTTCAGCAGTTCGCGCTTCGAGGAGTGAACTTGAATCAC